AAAAACGAAACTCGTGAGCACTAAACATGAAACACATATGCCCAGAACCTGTACGTCAATGCGTCCTTGGTGCCGGAAGAGGCAACAACCCAATAGAGAGAGAGAGAGGGTAAGAGAGTGAAGGTACTTCATGTTTGGAATAGTGCAGGCTTGGTGGCCTTTGCCACATAAGACGCAGAATTTGCAGTTCATTGTTGAGCTTTTGTTTGAAAACCATGCCTGTTTGACCACTGATGCTTCTGGGCCCTGCCACATTCGAGGGTGGGCAGCCCACGTGGCCAGAAAAGAGCTGCCACGTCCTGTTCTAGTAAGAACGATGCCCAAATGCCTAAAATCGACCCCCCAGGTGAAGGAGACCAAAGGGTTTGTCCTGCAGATCCAACAAGGAGCCAACCGCGAGAAGACCCACATGCAGGTGGCGGAGCAGGATATGTCAATGTGGCTCGGAGTCCCCAGGATCGCCATCTACGTGCTGGCCTGCAACGACCTCGAATATTTCCAACGAACTCCTGATCACTTTGACAGTCCGTATTGGACACATGTCTTCGAGGTAGCCATGGAGAAGGCCTAAGCCCAGTGGTCCACAAAGATGAAGGAGGACTTGGAGATGGCGAACGAGCTGCTGGAGCCACTCGAGGGCACCGAACTCCCCATGAAAGATGGCCTGGTCCATGGCAAAGCCAGATCCACCTACGCCGACGGGGGCATCTACGTCGGCGACTTTGAGGAGAACCTCAAGCATGGCCGAGGCAAGATGACCGAACCTGATGGTACCAGCTATGACGGCCAATGGGTGAACGATCAGCGCCACGGAAGTGGGGTGATCCGCGGAGGAAATGGCCACACCTATGAGGGGGAATGGGCGAACAACCAACAACATGGCAGCGGGCTGCATCGCTTCGCCAACGGCGACTCCTATGAGGGGGAATTTGCCCACGACCAGCGGCATGGGAGAGGCCTCTATTGCTACGTCAACGGAGATGTGGATGCGCAACTCGCCGAAGAGAGTCGGCCCAAGGACGTCGGAGTGAGACGCCTGGCAGGAGGTGGCTACCAAAAGCTCCAGGACGGAGCGGTGGTGAAGGAGGTGACCGAGAAGGAGGCCAAGCAGTTGGTGAAAGAGAATGGTTTGCCCTCCTTGTGGTGAGCCCAGTGATTTGGAAGCTGCATGGGAAAGCTAAGGATTTTGAAAACCCGGATTTTGTAGTAGGGAACAGGGCGGAACAGTGCGGATTTTGTACTAGGTCCGGCCGGCTGTTGAATCAGGCAGCCGCTACCACTTCATGTTCTTGCGAAGCTGCAAGTCAAGCCCATTGTGGGCAGCATGTTATAAAGCCGTTGAAGTCATCGAAGGTGCTTTAACAGCGAAGCCGGCTGACAGGCTTGGCATGCGGCACAGAAAAGGAACCGCAAGCAGTGAAGAAGGGAAAGACAAGGAACTTAGCATGACTTGTGTGAGAGTTTTTAAGGGCTTCTTACGGCCTTTTATAATGACCAGAATCTTTTGGGCTTTTAGGCTTTCCACACCCTAGCGTTCCAAGACCTCAAACACGGTTGTTGGGGATAAAGGCCTCGGTGGGCGATGTGCTGCCCCAAAATCCAAGCTGATGCGGTTCAGATGTGCTGCCCCCGAAGCTCAACCCCATCCAAGGCGCCACACACTGCACCGCGGGGACGCCACACACTGCGCCGCGGAGGCGCGCGACGGGGAAGGAGTGGGTCGCGATCCCGCCGGTTCGCGTGCTCCGATCTGGGAATGAATCACCGGGTTGGAAGTCCGAAGCTTTGGACATGCCTGATTTGATGGGCGTGTGGATATTTCGATGGTGCAGGGGCATGGCAATGCCATAAGCCGTGCTCGGGCATCCGAACGGCCTGGTGTTTGATGAGGTTCTGTCGACCTTGATGGCCGATGGCCTTCCTTGCTCCACGTTCGGGAGGTGACCGGAGACAGCGCGAGAAATTGGCACAGAAATCCCACCAGTGACCTTTGATTCTTAGAGACACTCTGTACCCGTAGCTTCGGGTGGTGGAGTGATGGAATTTGGATGAATTTGGTGGCATGAGGCATGCAGCTAAGAAGATCTACATGTTGTGCTGAGCTGGCGGCATCCGGTGGCACGTCCTATGGCGGACGTTGCCCTCTTCATGAACGTCCGATTCTTGCCTTCACAGGGTCTTTGGGTTCAAAGGTCTTGGGGTCTTTGGACTTCGCCGGGTGAACCACCGCTATAGTCGGTCTCTTGACTGACCAAGAGAGGTAGCCAGTGACCGTAAATAGGACCCGTCACCTGGGGTAGTTATGGGATAGTCGAACTAGGGTCCTTCAACCTTTGTTGGGATGTCAAGTCACATGGAGAGTTGATGAAGTCTGTCTAAAGGCTTCAACAGTTAGGTGCTTGGTGTGATCACGGCTGACGTGGACTATTGCTTTTGCGTTGACAGCTTTTTTAATTCAGGTCTTTGGAAAAACTCCACCATCGCTGGAGGAACACACAGCATCACACAAGACGAACATTTAATAAACATTGGAGTTCTCCTCCGTGTTCGTTCTTATGAGGAGGACGGTGGTTTGACATCAGATCCGAGGTCGCAGGAACCCAGACGAGAGCGTCTCCAAGCGGCTGGCTTGACCTGGTTGACTCAGGCCAGTTTGGACGCGAGGCGTGGACTTTTTAAATTGAATGTTCACAAGCTTTAGGGACGCTACAAGAAGAGTTATATACAACATATATAATGTACAAATTCAATTGAAACTGCGAAGGCAACTTAAGACCTTAATTAAGGCTCATTGAGGAAACAACCAGGTCGTGCTCGGCAACATTCGACGAACACCGCGAGCAACATCAGACAAGGCATTAGATTCAGTGATCAATCACTTCATTGGATTCAAACTGAAAAGACCACCAAGGCCAACCAAGGCCAACCAAGAAGACCACCAAGGCCAACGGCCAACCGCCAACCCCTTCCACACTGACTAGGGGAACCAAGTCCGGTCGCCATGAACTACACAGCCCCAAGCACAGCTTCCAGCGCACCCACAACTACCCACACATCCCACCCACTCCGAAGATGGGTTCATTTTCCATCCACTGCCGTTCTGGAAGATGTTGTTTCATGCTGTTTCTTTTGGAGGATGTTTGAGGTTTATTTTGATTTTTGATAATTGTTTTGAACATCATCATAAGTGACACGTGATATAAGTTATAATCCTTTTGGTTCTCCATCCTTGAATGCCTTGCACAGATCGAATCACCGCTTGTTCTTCTGCAGAACAGGTTCATCTCAGAGCTTCTATTTACAGTCAGACCTGTGAGCATCGTCCGCTGATGTTTGGCTTGAGAAAAGAGTGGCAGAAGACCCATTGCGGGCAGACCGGGCAGCCACCATTTTTCGAGAGATGTTTGGGCATGCCGCACCTCCAACACAAGCACCATCAACTCCTGCGTGAAGTGGACCAGCAATCCTTTCAAGGATTGAAATGCCAGATGGGACCACTTTGCTGAGACATCATAAGCCAATATGAAGCACCACTTCATCGCCACCTGGGATTTTTGTAGCTGGGATTGATTCAAAGCAAAAGGGCAGCACTGACCTTCCAACCTCACGTCTTTCCACCTCACCTCCCATGGCGAAGAAGAAGCGCCGCACCACCGCGGGCGCCCTACCGCCCGCGCCGACGTCCGCGGCGCCGAGCGCGGCGCCGACGTCCGCGGCGGTGAAGGTGGTGCAGTGGTGCGCGGCGGGTGCCGCGAAGGATCGAGGTGTGGGCGGGAGATCGGAACTCCTGCAGTCAGTGGGTCGTGGGTGGAGTGTTTTTGTGGTTTCTTTCTGCTCCGGTCGATCTGGGGCGCCAACTTGGGGATGGGGATGGGCGCTACCTCCTGGGAGGTGATCTTGAGCACCAACTTCCACTACACTTACAGGATGCTTGTGCCCAACTGACCATAACTGACCAACAGAGGTCGAAGAACCCTAGTTCGACTGTCCCAGGCCAGGGTACCCCAGGTTTTCCGGGTCCTATTTAAGGTCACTGGGTTGAACGGGCTGATTCCGCAGGCGAACTCCTCGAAGCCTTGAAGCCTTTGGTCCTTCTGCGCGCCGCCAAGTATGCCTTGGACTCGGCCGAGAGCGGCGTGAAGAATGGCAATGTCAAGGGCAAAGCGCAGGTGCGGGGAGCCAATCTATTGACTTGTTTTTATAAGCTTTTCCTGTTGACATTAACTTGATGACATATCTCCATGAGGGTGCATGTTACATGTTGGCTTGCGAAGGCTAAGGCAGACGTGTCGTTGTCTCCAGCTTTGTGATGCTGTGCATCTAAGCAGACCGATAGTTTGAGGACCCAAGTGTCTAAGAGATATAAGCTGTCAACTGGAGCCATGAAACGATGAGAACCAAGAGAGGTTCAGTGACCTGAACTGGGTACCTATGGGATAGGCTAGTTCGGGTCCTTCAACCTCTGTTGGTTCGGTGTTTGATTCTCCCCAGATTTGGGCCGCGGGGCTGTCGGGTGGTCTCACACCTTTGACGGGCGAAAGCGGCGAAGGAATGGTCTATTGGAACGGCCCAGGGGAGACCAGTCGGGACCAAGAATCATCCAACTCTACACTAGTCGAAGACCTCACTGAATGACGGGAGTTGGTCATAAAAATACTACTCTAAGGAGGTCAGTCAGACCAGGTTTGGACCTGGGTCAACTGCATTTGTATATATAGGGATATAACTAACGGGATATAGATCCACCACCCCCTAGAACGACCCTTCTCAGACCCTCCCAGATGACCCTCCGGCCGCCAGGCCAAGAAGCGCCCCGCCGAAGATCTCCTCCACCCGACCGACACGTCCACTCCTACAGACGCGGAGCTGGGCGCAGCGTTGGAGACCTTCCGGCGCTTGGCGCAGCAGCCGGAGGAGCCCGCCTTGTTTTCTCAGAGAAAACAGCCGGTGAAGCGAGATGGAGCTGGTTGAGCGGGTGGAGGCTTTAGCATGTTTTGGCTTCATCTGGACTTCCTGCTTGCTTGGGCTGGACTGGGGGCTATGGTGGGGAAACCTCGACCAATTAAACAATCCAAAAGCGGAATGGTACTCCTATTTTGTTTGGAGGCCACATCACTTGGAGGGCAGTGTGGCAGCCGACTGCGGGAATTGTGTCCATCTTGATGCTTGTGGACCACTTTGTGTTTGCACTTGAGAACCACATGTGCAACAGCAGAGGGTGGCAGATCAGTCTCGAATCATCTCGAATCCCCTCTCGCCCCAGCAGAGGTTGAAGCACCGTAACTAGGACCCGTCACCTGGGGGACCCATAGGATAGCCTAGTTCGGGTTCTGACCCACCTCTGTTGGCCATCTCCCATTTGCGCCAATCGCACTCGCCGCTGGCCCCAAATCGGCGAGCACGCCGATGCCCCGAAGCGCACCGTGAGACTCTCCGCCGCTCGTGGAGGACTTGCTCTCTCCGGGCTGCAAGGCCTTGCGAGCTGCGCTGCATCCCCTGGTGGAGGCGCATTTGCGTGAGGAGAAGGCGTCTCCTGCGTTCAGGACGTGGGAGATGCCACGGTCACTTATCCAGAAACTGGCAAATATAGGTCAAGAACCACACTGAGGCTGGTGAGACAAAGTGTACATGGAGCTTCAAGAAAGGATCTCTTCTTCCAGGTCATGGACCGGCTGCAGAAAGAGCAAACACATGAGCAATAGGTTGAACTCTTGTTTTTTGCATTCCAGGAAGCCGTCCCCAGGTTCCTGCAAGTTCTCTTGAGGGTGTTCCTTGGCCGGCTAACCGGGTGTGGATGATGTTCCTTTTCCGGCAGGATCACCTCGATGTTGGGACAGCGTTCCCGGTGGCCAGAGGCCTTGCGCCTCGTGGCGGCAGGGCCTGGTGTGGGGGCCGGGGGTCACTAGCTAGTGAAGGCACCAAACATTCATCGTAAAACCACGATGACATCAGCCTAACCAAACCCTACCATGACATCACTTGAGACCTAATTAGCATGATTTAGACCACCCTATCCCAGAATTTGTTCCCAAAACCACGAGCACTGAGACCTCAAACATCCTCAAACCCTCCTCAAACCCTCCTCGGACCCACCTCCGCACTCAGGGGTGCTGCGTGAGTTGCGGCAGCAGCCGGCGGAGAAGCGGCCCAAGCTGGGCGCCTACCAGCGCTGGGTGCGCGAGTTGGACGTCGCCGAAGGGGATGCAGAGGAGTCACCCGGCGCTAGTTTTGGCGCCTAGTACTGCGACTACCAAAAGAGGGCTGGTTCTCACTTCACATCTGAATCTATGATGATTTCAGGGAGTGTAGCTATGATTTGCTATGCTATATTATGCTATGCGGGTATATGCTTGTAGGTTTGGACTTGGGAGGATGGAGCTGCAATAGGTGAGGGTGGATGTAGAAAACTTGCATGTGCTCCTGCCGTTCTGTGGCCTGTGGGTCATGGCGAGTGCGAAGTAATTCTTTACATCTCGTTGGATTGGCCATGGAAGACTTCCCAGATTCCCAGCTCCCCTTCAAAGCAAGTCCTCCTCTTCTTTTCAGTGACTACCACCTGATGCCACGTGGTACCAGCCGGCCACCGACCCTACTTCGCCCACGCAGTCAGACACCCCTCAGGCACCCGGCACTCCGTCCGATGCACGTCACCCCCCGGAGGCTCTTGATGCTCGACGCCGTGATGCGCCTCGCCGCCGGCTTCGGCGCGTACGCGCCGGACGCGCCGCCCGTCGCGCTCGGCCGCGGCGCACGGGGCGAGGTGGGAAGGCTGGAGAAGTTGGATCCCTGGGCGCCGGAGGTGGGCGATGCAGGCGCGAGGTGGATTTGGGGCGTTTGCGCCGGGTTTTGGGTTGCGCGGAGGATGTGCGCGTGGGTGCGTGTTGTATGCGCCCAGGGCGTAATATTGTAGACATGTTGTATAGGTGGTTTTGGTATGGACCAGCAGGGAGTTTCTCAATGAAGCGATGGATGGGCAGGTCTTCATGGAATATGACGAGGGTGGATTTGGAAAGGTTGGATGAGGGTTGGATGAACTTGGAGTGGGATTAGGGGGTTGTGCTGGAGGGTTTTGGAGAGGTGAAAGTTTGTTGAGACAGCCTTAAAAGTTGTGTTTTTGTTGTCCTTTAATTCGTTCTGTTAAGATGATGTCTCGCTGCGCGAAAGGCAAGACTGAGGCCTTTGATATCCTTTCATCCTTGTTGATCCTTTTTGTGCATAGTCGCGGAACTCCCAGGGAGGTGGGGGTGTTGTTTTCGGTGGAGGCCAGTGGGGCTTGATCGAACCAGGCCAGCGGGAAGAGGAGAAGAAGACGGTCTCGGTCTCTGGGAAGTCGGTGGCCAGCAAGCCTCTTGAATGGAATATCTTCATGTGACCGCACCCCGGAATCCGGGAAGACATGCAACACAGCGCTGTCAATGCCATGAATTGAAGTCTAAGTGGAGCAGGCATGTGTTGTTCAATTTGTTCCATGTTGATCCCTAGTGGAATGAACAGCAGCAAAGCAAAAGTTCTGCCCAGACGCTCATGGGCCCTCATATGGAGGGGTCGGACCCTCATATGGAGGGGTCTGGGGTCTCAAATCCCTAGGTTTTGAGGGACCAAGGGTCGTTTGGAGCGTTTGGGTGGAAGGTTATGTTGTTATGTGAGCTTTCTTGGAGCCAGGGTCAGCTCAAACTTTACTATCAGCCTGCACTGTGAGACTCACAAATACCAACAATCTGATACCAGATCTTTACTCTACAAGGTAGGCCCATGGGGCCCATGGGCCCAAGCTCTTGAGCCTGGAAAGTTCAGGCTCCTGTCTCTCATCAGCCTGCGGAAAGGGGCCGGGCCGCCCACACACCTTGGCGTGGCTTCCTGGCGCGTTCTGGCGCACGAGAAGGCAGCAGATCGACTGCCGCCGAACCACTACGACTTGGACGCTTGGGTTTTGTGAACGAATTTCCACTGCAGGCGCAGGCTAGAAGCCAAGAAAAGAAGGCCAAACCAATGGTTTTGCAGGGCAAGTTGCAGGAGGAAGATTGTTTCGCTTGATGTTATTGTGTTCAAAGTGCTATCCATGCTAACTGCTGAAGGGCGTATAGGTTTTGCACCTGTGGTTTGCCCCCAAAAACTTTGGAAATTGTTGCTTATTATTATGCCTAATACTAATGCCCGCGGCTTTTCTCTGGAAGAGCTGATGTAAAGCATTTCAAACACAACCTTTGCCGACAAACATCCACAAACCATATACACATCCCCTAGGGCTCCAGTCGTACCTCCTCAGAAGGTATGACTGGACCCTCCTGACACCCACCCCAAACATCCCCAGACACCTTGTAAGGAGGTACTTGGAGCCCTATTGATCATCCCTTCGTTACATATAACAAATTGTCTCAGCTCCGCAGCTGGTGCTAGTTACGTTTACCCAACCATCTCGGTATTTAAAGCGGTACTTCTGTCCTCAACTCGACCTCCTCCTTTGACCGCGGCATTGGTGAAGCCACGAGGACATTTACACCTGTCCTCCATCGCTGCTCCCGCTACAAAGCCCTCCACCGCGCCCGACACAGCGCTTTGCGATGCCCGGCGTGGAGGGTGGCTTCGTGCTGACGGACGTGCTGAGCCCTCAAGAGTGGTCTTGGTTTGGAATCAGGACGATGTTTTGAACGTTTTTTATATATTTCCTCACAGTGGATTTATTCCTCCCCTTCCAGATGTTGGGCACAGATGTCGGGCACAGATGTTGTGCATGTTTATGTGTATATACTGTATATATATATATACCCTGGGAGTCAAAGATTATAAAACGAATGGTGTTTAAGGGAACTGAAAGGAAACTTCCTTTACGCCAGCCGGTCAAAATATAGTCTTTGGATTTCTAGGGTATACTGTGTTCCCTACAGCTATATCGTGTCTTTTGTTCCTTTCTTGCGTTCAGGCAAAGACTTTGGTCCCTTTCTTGCGCAGCAAGTCCAAGGTGTGATGAGCTCAGACGCGCCACCGAAGAGATTGGAGACTTGACCGGATGAACAGGGTGGGGGCTCTGGGATTCCGCAGGTTGAACGAGCTCCTGGGAGGTAGTGAGGCGATGAGATGTCACGTTCAGAGGCGCCCTGATTATATACAGTATACATTTATATTCTTGAACTAGGAGGAGGAGGATGTTAGCGCCTTGCTTTGATGACCATATCTGACTAAGCGGAACGGACATTGCAGGTAAACCATATTACATGTTAAATCTTCCGCGTATAGGTGTTACCAATTGTAGCGTGGGGACTTCTGAGAGACCTGATAAGGGGGGATAAGTGTCATAACATCTCACCATGATAGGGGGAAAGAGGCTACCCTCCTGCAGGTTAGCATGGATCCTCAAGACCACTAGGGTCAGGAATGTGTTTAAAGGATCCATGTTAGTCTGCAGGGGGGAACAATGGTTCGTACATACCGTACCACTTTCTGGATGACTCGATGCATTCTCTTCTGCATTCTGTCCATTTCTTTCCCGCATCGAACGCCAGTGTAGCTTTCAATTGAGGACGCTAAACTTGTGTGTTTTGACGCAGTCTTGGGAAAGCTGATGTTGCCCGCAATTGAGCGGCCACTTGTTGAGATCCTGAATGGCCAACTTACTGAAGTTTGATTTCTCATTAATTTTCAGATTCTCATCGTTTCTCTTTTCCCATGCGCCAGGGAGGAGTTGGTGCACCGGTTTCACCTCACCCCCGTGCTCCCCCTTTGCTCCTGGGCCGAAGCTGTCGAGGATATCGTCCAGATGTGCCGATCTCATCTCAGTTGGACGAGCGAGCGCACAATGTGGTCCTCATGGCCAATGATGTGCAGAACAAATCCCTGTGCCCTGGTGGCGGTTCGTGACCATGAGGTGAGGGGCAAGGGGCCGCATCAACCCGTGTGTCCAATAAAAGATATCACTCCACAGAAGCCCTTTCAGTGAAGAGCCCCTTTAAGACAGCACCATAATCATCATAATCCAAACGAGCACTGGTTCTTGCACGCTGATCCATTCCCAAAAAGACACCTTTCTCTCGGCTCGCTTAAGCTCAGGTTTGAGCGTGTGATGCCGTTGCTGCCGACCGAGATCCATGGGGAGAAGCTCTTGGGCATCAACCGCCGCTGGCGTTTCTACCGCTATTTGTCCGGGAACCTGCCACTGGTCAGCAGCGTAGAGTGGCGCAAGTTGGTGGTGAAGCCAAGCGTTCCAGATTTTGGTTTCAGGGAAGATCTACGGGAAAGCCTGGGAAGCCATAGTTGTTGTGGTGATGAAAAAAGGGTTTCCCGCAAATCTTCCCTTAAACCAATTTCATTGAGAGGGGTTTCTCAGATTGAGGTGTTTTTTGGATCGACCGTCGACCGGTCTCTTTTTTGCGTTTGGCGGGTATGACTGATTTTTCTACAGGGTATCCGGCATGCGTGAAAGCAAACGCATTGTCGAACAAGGAGGTAAAAGGATGAAAAGGGGATGGCCCTCCTTCATGACATGTCAATTTCTCCGGCTCGCGTGAATCAAAGAAACCCTCGCAGAGGAAGTCTGCCCTGTCATGTTTTGAGATGAATAAATGAACCATGCACATCCATGTGCAGTCCACTGGTGGGGTGGCTACGGAACATTGGTGCAGACTATATCAGTTTGGGGTGTCCTAGGAAACCTGCAACAGTCGGCAAACAAGAGCATCATTATTTTAGAGGAAGGCCTGCAACCTAGCCATCATCATCCATTGCTACAGGGATTAGGATACACCAAATGTAGAAGTACTATAGTTGTTATATATATAGTCTATAATATGTTTATAAGTTAGTTTATATAATATGTATAGCCAATGACATGAGAAGCATCCTGACCTTAGCCCCCGCCAGACAGGTACCGGAAACATTTGGATGGTGCTTGGCCTGCGAGTGGTATCAGCTTCGAGGGTGGCCAGGAGAGCTATGTCTACGATGCACACGGAGGTGGCACAAGGTCCAAGTTGACCTTCATTATTTACTTGATTCTTGTCTTCCAACTGTTCGGTGGGTCAGGACCCGACTGCTGGACTATCCCAGTTGGGTACCCCAGGTGTTCCGGGTCCTAAGTCTTGGGTCAGACCAGTGCTCGACCCCGGCCCCGACCATCCATGGTATGGAGCGAATATGCCATCCCATCGGCCATGTTTTTCAACCACCCCAAGGTCGGTAAATGGGCCGGTGCCATGCAGTTGTTTGGATAAAAACAATTGTAAGTTCGGTGTCAAAGACCTAGAATTTCCTCCCTCCCAGCCCCAGCCCCTTACATCTCAGAATTGGTTTAAGTTTAAGGCAAAATTCGCAGGAAACCCCTAGCTCTCGGGGGTGAAAAAGCATGGTTTCCTGATGTTTGCCTGTAGATGTTCCCTTCAACCAATCCAGGGGTTTCCCAAGGAAGAAGGACCGGAATTCTCCCAAGACCGAGCGACTTCAGGAACGACGACTTCGAAGGCGGTTGCACCACCTTCTTCACTCCTAAGCCGGACGAGGAAGGCACGTTGGACTCCAGGCCAGGGGGGCAGCCAGCATCTGACCAGGTGCCCAGGTGGCCAGGTGTCTCTAAAGCTTGGGGTGTTTCAAAGGGCCCACAGTGGGCAGATGTCCTTCACTGGTCCATTCTGACTCGAGTCGGTGCACTTTCCCGGTCCTGACCTCATTGAGTAGCACTTTTTGTGTTTGATAAACCACTGGTTAAATGAGGTCTTCAGCCGGCTGGGTTTGGTGGAACTGGCGGATGGGTCTTGAATCTCTGAGGTTTCAATTTGAGCTGTCGGACCGTCCGTGTGAGCGGACCTGGGAAGTAGACATCATTCATCATCCCCAGACGCCCAACACCTGAGGTTCTTCAGAACCCTGATGGTTCCATCAGTCCATCTACCCCAAGCTGACCATGAATCAGGTCACTGACGTAAAACCTCAGACTTCGCTCACCTCATGACCTTTCCCCTGGCTCCAGGCCCATTCGCCCGCGTATTGGCTCCGCCAGCGTCTTCCCCCATGGCGATTGTCGGACGCCTCTCTTACATGAGGGCTCGGCGGTGACCAAGGGGACGAAGCAGCCTGGATGGAAGGGGGGGAAACGCGCATTCTGAACTGAGATAGGGAGAAGACATGGGAAGCATTTGCAGGTACCAGCTGCTTCCAAATAAAGGGTTACCTGGCTGGACAACCCTACACGGCTTTTTTTCGGTCACCAGTCACCATTCAACACCCCTAGGGAAGGTCCTGGTATGTTTTACACCCTGGAAGACTTGGAGCAAGTCTTCCCGTTCGCCGACCCAGGACCCATTAAGAAGCCAGGTTGAGGCTGGTGGATTACAGTGTTAAAAACATCCGGTTCGTAAAAGAATGGTTCGTAAAGATCATTCGTTAACCATGGGAATGATCCTAGGGTTTCATGGTCAAATTGACCGGTCCATCGGTCGTTGACAGGTCGCCCTTCAGATCACTTTCCCCCTTTGGGGCGAGCCGAGCGCGGCGAGCCGAGGTACCTGCTCCGCACCGATGTGGTTTATGCTCGTCCCGATCCTTGGCAGAGGGACCAACAGAGGTTGAAGGACCCTAGTTCGACTATCCCATAGGTACCCCAATAGGATACTTAACCTGTCTTATGACCTATCCCTTGGCAGAAGGTTGAAGGTCCCTTGGCAGAGGGACTATCCGCGAAACATCCTAGTTCAGGTCACTTAACCTGTCTTGGGATGTTTCGCGGTGTTCATCCGATGGGTGGCCACTCCGAGCGACCGAGCGACGGCCCACGACCGGGTCCAGGTACGGTCTCGTGAGGTTTCAAGTACTTCCACCCATCTCCCACACTGAACACGCTTCCATCGCTGCCCCACTCTCCACTCTCCGCCGTTTTTGTTCCCAGGAGACGCCTGAGGAGCTCAAACACCAGCAGCGTCTCAAGGGACTGGCGCGGCAGTTGGGCGGCCTCGGTGGCAAGAACCTCCTGGACGACGACCGGGTGGCGCCCGCGGCCGCGGGTGGTGCCACGAAGGCGGCCACGAAGGGTGGCGAGGTGCTCAGTGGGACACTTTCGTCACACAAGGACAGATGAAACGGATAGAGTTAGGTGGAGCCCGGGATTTCTTGGACCTGTCTTTGTTGGGAAAAAGGTCAGGACTTCTGACAGTCATCCAGCTTGGCTGTGTTGTTCACACCTTTCTCCGTGTTGAAGCCGAGGCAAGAAACGTGTGAAGAAGTCCAACCTGAAGGGAAAATCCAAAGAGGAAGCGCCACAGGAGAGCTGGGCAACAGAACATGGGCTCTTGGGCAGGGGGTGTAACAGTAAATCAGTGTAGCGATCAGTAAAGATTAGATAACTGTTTTTGAGAAAGGCCTGCAACCGATGTAACCATCATCGCCAACTGTTGCTGGTATATATAGTCTATCATGGATAAGGAATCAACACGGATCCGGATACTCCCAGCGACCCTTTTCATGGTTTTTTGGCACGAATCGAGTTGCTAATAGTTCTTGACCACGCGCTATTCTGATGCAAAGAATGCTTTGCTGCAAGAAATGAAGCACGGAAACAAGGAAGACCACACCTGCTGTGCGGAAAAGAATGGCCTTCATCGGACAGATGCGGGGGTAGACCAGGAGTTCACAAGGGCTCTCACTTCCACCACTGCTTTTTGTAGAGAGTACTCTAAGGATACTCTCAAGTTGACCAGGTGGGCAAAAGGCGCACAGAAGTCAAGACGGGTTGAGCCACCAAGCTGGGTCAATTGAAATCATTACCTAGCTGTTGGAGCAGGTTCAGGGGCCAAGATCTCGGAGGCACAGAGTGAAGTTAGACTGGCTCTCAAAGTCAAACATTTGTTCACTCAAGGTGTTTCCCCACTGAGGAGGAGTAGGAGAATCCTTCCCAGAACTTCCGCTTTAACTCAATGAACTACCCAACTCCCCTGGTCATAAGCGAGTAAAACCTTGACTTTTCACTGCTTCATACCCGGATGCCGTCCAGGATCCGAAGATGGCCAAGGGCCTGAAGGGCCCTAAGGGCTCCAAGGGCCTGCAGAAAGCTGGGAAGGATCGAAACTATGGCAACCTGACTGGCACTGGTTGTTTGTTGAGTGTGTAAACATGACCTCATCAGCCTGACTGGCACCTGCCTGTTTCAACAGTTGACAAGCTGTCTAGTCGCTCCTTGCCTTTACCTTGCCTGTGTGTGTTTTGGCGTGACTGTTCTTTTCTCTCCGCACGCAATGGATCTTGGAGTGCAGACCGTTGAGCATTTGTGACCTCCAGCTTTGGCGGAAAGGCGCTCAACCCCACAAGATAGCACAGCATACAGCGTCATGCCACACCAGACAGGGGAATGCTGATTGTTAGGAGTATCCCTCGCCTTGATTTGGTTTTGCTTAGGGTGATTGTGTGAATATTCTTCTAAGGGATATAACATGATAATTTTGTTTCCCGGTTCCTTAGGCATCAGTAGATTCTTGGGCCGTGGAGTCCTCAAGTGACAACGAGTTGCAACGACGTTGGATCACCGATGGATCTTCTCCAGGGTTGGTTGATCGGATAAAGCTTTCTTCAACCAAAAACACATACTGGTAGCGCGTTTTGCTCTAATACATCGATCATGTGATTTTTTGTGATAGGTGCTTTCCCACGAACAGCTTGGATGGTTCATCCCACTTTCCGAATCTTGATTCTGTTTGGACTTCTGAGGCAAGAAAGGCAAGAAGAGGCGCGGAGCGGCGGATCATGGACCGTGGCCCTTGGGACAGCTCGATATGTTCTCATATTACAGGTATATACAGGTGTTGCTGAGGTATGCTCGTACTTAATCCCTTAGCCTTTGACTCGTAAAGATTCATAAAGGATTTACTACTAACTACCCCTAAAGAATGGACGTGGAACACGCACACACACACGGGGTTGTGTTCATAAGACCATATAATCAGAAAATAAAATTATACCAGCGTAGACCCCAAACAGTTTGTGCGCTTATGAAGTTAACCACAGAACTGTCAAACCGTCAACGGCTCAAACCGTTCCAGCTCGCGGTGATCAACTCGGACCTTCTGGGCTTGTTTCAGCACTTGGCTCAATTGGCTCAAGGTCACAACCGACAATTCAGACGAAAATAGAACGCAAATCTACTGAATATGCTGAGTTGTACTGACATGTGGCTTTATCATGATTGTTTGGCTAAAAGATGTTAAAAGCTTTCAACCAAAATGTGAGACAAGCAGGGACACAAGAAGGGAGACAAGTGAAGAAGCGAGGGAGACAAGCACGGGGACAAGTGGAGACAAGTGTAGCAAGAAGGGAGACGAGCAGGGAGACAAGTGGGACAGCGTAAAGCCACTTGGCCAAGAGTGTCTAAGCAGGGAGCAGGCGAAGAGGCAAGCGGAGACAAGTGTAAAAGCGTATCCAGAGCAGGCCGAGACAAGTGAAGCAAGAAGGGAGACAAGCAGGGAGAGAAGTGTAAACTGGCAGAGGGACCCAGAGGGAGACAAGCGCAAAAGCATGCAGCCAGAGCACCCAGAGAGTGTATTGGAGACAAGGAGAGACAAGTGGGAGACAAGTGCAAAAGCATGCAGCCAGAGCACCCAGAGTGTATTGGAGACAGGGAGAGACAAGGGGAAGGCAAGCCAGAGTACGGGAGACAAGGGAGACAAGTGTACAATCACGCGGCCAGAGCAGCAGAGTGTACTGGAGACAGGAAGACGAGGGAGACAAGTGACAAGCGGGAGACAAGTGTAAAATCATGCGGCTCAGACTGAGAGACAGCTGCAACATCATTCGTGTGGCAGGAACACAAGCCAGGAGACACATGCAAAATCACGAGGCCCGCCCTTTCAAAGGAGTAAGAACCCCTCACAGCTAAACCTGTTTGGGGAATAAAATCATGCGGCCAGAGTACTGAGAGCATCGAGAGCTTACTGGGAGACAAGGGGGAGACAAATGGGAGACAAGTATAAAATCATGCGGCCAGCGCACTCAGAGCATCCAGAGCTTACTGGGAGACAAGTGGGAGACAAATGGGACACAAGTATAAAATCATGCGGCCAGAGCACTCAGAGCATCCAGAGCTTACTCGGAGACAAGTGGGAGACAAATGGGAGACAAGTGTGAAATCATGCGGCCAAGCTTTCTGGGAGACAAGTGGGAGACAAATGGGAGACAAGCCTGAAATCATGCGGCCAGAGCACTGAGAGCATCCAGAGCTTACTGGGAGACAAGTGGGAGACAAGGTGAAATCACGCGGCCAGGAACACAAGCCCGGAGACAAACTCGAAATCATCCGGCCCGAGCATGCACCCCTTTAAAAGGAGTAAGAACCCCTCACAGGTAAACCTGCTTGGGGGAAAACATGTGAATACATGAGGAACCATGAGCGATACCTGCAAACATGAAACAACACACATGCCAAGAAAACAAACACAACAAGATCCCACCAAGCCATGTCTTCCAACATCGATGTCCTTCTCTAGCGTGGTTAGGCATCGGGGCCGAACTGCCAAGAGCGCAAAGCAACAGCACAAAAAAACACACACCCAAGGGCCGGGCCCAGACTAAGTAGGTCGCCCTTCGCTTTTTGAGGGGAACCTGAACCTGTCAGCAAGGGCCCAGACTAGTAAGTCTAGCCTTTTGAGGGGAACCGGAACGAGAAAAAGACAACCATTTTATCCATGTTGCTCACAAAAAGCTATCCGCACGCCCTCCGGTCTGTAATTTGACCCGCCTGTCACTCATCTCACCCAGCCCACGCAGGGGTGCCATGGCACGACGCCGCTGAGTGAGATGTGCTGTGCCTGCCACGTCCCCGCCACCGCGCCACAGTGCCGGTGAAAAAAAAAGAGCGTCCACTTCTGCGGCAGAAGTGGCTCCCCTGGTGCAGCTGCAGCACGTTTGGGTTGCAGCGTGACGGACGCTGAGGATCGAAGTATATAAAATTACTTCAGTGATTCAAAGCACCTGGACAAGGGAGACTTGGATGTGTGGATCATGTGTAAAAACCAAGTCTGGAGGCATGTTTTCACACCCTGCAACTGCGATTCAGATGGTGGCGCGTCTCCAAATTTGACCTCCCCCCAAAAAGGAATTGCACCAGCAGAGCAACACCCTTGGAAGACCTTGGAAGATTGGCCCTTTCCTTCTTCCCTCTTCGACTGTGACGCAACGGGCGGTCCTTCTTATGGAGTTCCTCTATGGCTATATTGGACCGAAAGACCTGCAGCTCCCTGTGATATAGGGGGCTGCACTTGGTGGATAAAAACCATGGGGCTTGACCCAAGACTTTACCCAGTACAACCGGGTATTTGTAATGATTTTGGAGCCTGGACCGGTTGGACAAAGAGAGTGAACACTATCCTAGTGAATCCAGGTAAAGCCACTATGGCTGATGGCTGATAACCAGTGGTTTCAAGGACGAAAAGCATAGACCGTCCGAGGGCCCCCTGGTTCCACAGGTGGTAAGATGCAAAACTACTGAGAATCATGGCTGCATTCCCCTTCAGCTCAGTCTGTGACGAGCCCTGAACCCTTCCGCGCCGAGGGCGGAGTCGCGCTTGGAGGACACGGCCCAAAGGGAAAGTGCCAGGCGAGGCGGTCGTGGGACGGAAACATTTGGGGTAGGAAGCAGGTGCTATTTTTACAACAGACACTTGACGCCTTTACTTCTTGCCCAGACACGACTAATGGGACTGCCTATGCCGATCAATTGACCCCCAAAGCCACCCCAGTGTAGGCATACATGGCGGTCCAATGGAGTGTTTGGGTTGTGCCTTCTTTTGGAATGACACTAAAACTTTTACTTTATAAGGATTAACTATGATTTCTTTTTGGGGTTGTGTTCTTGTGCTCTTTATGTTTGTGAATTCCACACCGGCGCTCAAAGATTCTTGCGGTTCACGAGGGAAGGACATGTTGATGTTGAAAGATGTTGGTGCCATGTTTGCATGCATTCCTCATGGTTCCCCTTGTTTTGCTGACCTAATGGCGCTTATTCCATCGACCCCTCCTGTGTGTATTTGTGCAATCTCCCTGGTGCACACTACATTATATTTACATTAAACCTCGTGGACGAAGACAATATGCACACCCCGGTGAATGTTCCGTACGCGACCAGACAACATGCAGCCTTCCGCATGGGTGACCCTCTGAAGATACATGGGGATCTATCTCCGACCATCCAATATATGCAACCGGCAGGAGATGTTTTCGGAGGGGTCCACGTGACCGAAAGTGACATCGGCTCCGCAGAACCCCCGTCGTTCCGGGGGCAGGGACTCACAGAACAACAAAAGAAACGACTAGGATTCCGGTCGCAATCCCGGGCGGCCGAGCTGCTTTGCTAAGGATGTTACACTACAGAACCAGGTCTGTCCCATTCTTATTAAACTTGAATTGCCCTTTGAAGACTAGGGCTACATGTTGCGGCGTGCCGGCCGGGCTTCGTCGCCGGAGGCGGAGGGCCGACGCAGAGACGGTGCGGCTCAGTACGGCACGCTGTGCAGAGGCGCTGGGCCGTCACCGCAGAGAGGATTCACTTGATTGGAGACACAGCCCCTGCTTGGAATCTGACCACATTCCGACATGGCTGTGGGTCGCGACAGGATAGGTTGGGGGGATACTTGGGAGGTCCTTCGCTACCTGGTGAGGGCACCAAGGTTCTCTTGACCCATCCCCACAGAGACAAGACGGAACACACGGTCTTCATTTTGAGAGATGTGCCTCGCGCGGTGCGACGTGGGAGGCCGAGGCAGCCAAACGTTCCATGGAAGATCAGCTGACAGAGGCGCGCATCACCCAGCCTGGTCGTAGAGCTGAGCGATGAAACCTGGCGAGCTGGGCTGTTGGATGAGGAGGGTGAACCAAAGTACTTAATTAGGAGTAGAGGGATGGCTGGATGTGGAGGGACCAAACACATTTATCATTTAATATCAGGTAATCCCTAGAAGTCCAAAAGATTTTAGGCACCACCCAAGTAAAGACCGTTTTAAAAAATGGTCTTGGACTCCCAGGGTAATTACGATACATTTACTGTATTTCGCCGCGGGATGTCCATGCCTTTCGACCTATGGGCCCAGGGCCCAGAAGATGTAAGTCAGTCACTCCGAGTCATCCTTGACAGAGATGGTTTTTCCATTTCCCAGACACTCCATGGGACTGGCATATTTACCTACATTGGGGTGGTTGAAAAGGGGTCAATGTAGGTAGATATGCCAGTCCCATTAGTCGTGTCTGGGTTTAGTCCAGTATCGGTCCACAGGTGATCGGTGCGGTCCACGGTGGTGATCGGAAGATCGGTTGCTATGTTGCTGAAACCCTGGGAGTCAAAGACTATAAAAAGAATGGTCTTTAGGTGACCTGAAAGGGAACTTCCTTTACTTCAGCCGGTCAAAATATAGTCGAACTGGACTTCTAGGGGAAACCTTCTGTGTTGCTCCCCCAAGAAGGCCGAATTCGACTTCTGGGTAGCGAAAGGCATGAAAAGGGTGCAGTGGAAGAAGTGGAAGTGGCTCACATTCCCAAAACACGAGACCCCAAAAGAGGAGGACAACTTGAGAAGCTTCGTTCGCCAGGAACGCGCTTTCACTGGCGAACTGCGCCGGGAGACCTGGCGAACTGGGCGGAGGAGCAGATCTGCAGCTCAAGGGAAGAGCTCAGAATGATTTACTCTCCCTGGAACTAACATGGTTACGTGGAGTTCACCACCTGTTTGTAGTGGAACATGGTCTTCCTTCCTGGGCCAGGCTATCCACTTCCATGTTAGTTCGAGGGAGTGTACATTGATCTACGATCTGATCTATACGTAAAGATCTCTGTGACTAGCCAGTTGGTTGCCATCCAATCCGCACGTTCTTGCCGTGGCGCACCACCTGCTCTTGCCAGCCCAGCATCTCCTCCCCGAGCCGCCCAGCCGTTCTTGCTGGGGGTTCAGGCCTGGAGGTGCAATCGCTGAAGGCCACGGTGACCCGGCTTCAAGAAGAGATCGGCAAAGCACAGGCGGGAGCGACCTGTACAGTACCTTCCGAACTCGGCGCGTCCCCTGAGGCTGGAAAACACACCCCAGCTGGAGCCCAGCCCACGACGTGTGTGGAAGTCCATTCGGCACCCCTTTTCGAAGGTCCAGGTCCGTGTGCAGAACAGCGCAGAGATGTGCAGTTGTTGCAGGGCGGGCAGGTTGGGGCAGGGCAGGCTAGTGATGTTGAGTGATTGGGTGATATTGGTGGGATGTGATGAGGGATACGCACAGTCAGGCGTGCTTTTTTGCGCAGACAACAAGTGAACATGCTCATGGGTTTGTTCTATCCATGTTTTGGATCCAAAATCGTCCACCCCTAGGAGTGTTCGCCACATTTTGCAACTTTGCCTGTGAGAACTCTGGGCTTCCTTCATGTAGGCAACTGTTCCAATAATATTCCATACATGGATCGTTTGGGATACTTTGCTACTAGTAGTAATGCCCTTGCTACTAGTAGCGATGCCCTTGCTACTAGTAGCAATGGTGTCTCTTGCTTGGGTCCATGCGTTGGGAGGCCTTGCAGTGCGATGGCGAGTTCGAAAGCTGGTCGGGATGCACAGCAGCTGCCAAGCTGTGGGCCCGTACGAAGCATACACAGACCGAACCACCCGTGGGTTGGCCTTCCTACCTTCAGGGCCGGCAAAACATGCCCTAAGTACATCAGGCTCTTTGATATTCCTGGTGTTGACAGGCACTCTTAGGCTGTCATCCTGTGAATCCCCCTGAAACTGGGCCTGGGGAGGACCTTTGATTTTCCTCCGGTTTCCTCCGGTTTCTCAGCAAATCCAAGTTGGTTTTCACCCTTCAAAGGACGTCGATCTGCAGGGGCTGACTTGGACTGGAATTGGTCGAGTCACAGGAGATGTTTGGATGGAATTATTCTTGATTAAATGTCATATCAGGATCGATCCAAAGCAGAACTGAAACATGCTATATCAAGATGGATCCAAATCAACATTAAAGGATTATTTCATGGTTGTCATTTGGAACTTAACTTTCATTTCGGACTTTTTCATGATCCACATCTTTGCATCTGACATCCTCTGTCAGTCCTGTGGGCTGACCGCCCCACATGTGGCACGGAGGACCGTTCCTTATAGGTCAGGACCCGACGCCCTTCGACGCCCTCCCAGGCCACGGTACCCCCAGGTAGCTACCGGGTCCTGGTCGTTGGGTCGCTTCACCTACCTCTCGTGGTGATGCACCCCAATTGAACAAGCTTAGAACGACACTGAGGCAGTCACAAGAGAAGCTGGAAAAGCAGCTGCACTCCGTGAAGCAGGCACCGAAGACTAATTAGAGCTGCTGGAGAGACCCGTGGAGTTCCAACCCCCTGTTTGGTGGTCGAAGTTCCTTGTACGGCCATGCTATCCAAGATTCAGGGTAGATTTAGGGTGTAGCATGGTGTAGCCCATTACCTAGTAACAGTCGTTAAAGGTTATCTCACTATGTTTGGGAAAGGCCGTTTCTAATCACCATCGTCATCGACTGTTACTTTTAATTGGATACCAAGGTAGATTCAATCGATGACTGTTTATTGCAGTGGAAGGAGCCGCATGGACCAGTGACCCAAAAATAGATTGGTGAGATGCTTTGCATCCCATGCCACAGGACCGACCGGACAGTACCAGAAGGTCACTAGATTTTGAGCGGTGGAACCCATTGCTTATGTTCTAGGTCTATGCATTCATGGTGGGAGGGGAACAGGCTGTACCACGGATCGTTGATTGCTGAATGATGCCAATAGGTAGCAGAACCAGGGTTTGCCTATATACTATACGTACTTTCTTTGGGGCAGGCGTGGCCGTTTGACCAACAAAGTCTTCCGCACAACTTACAAGTCCAATTCAGGAACTTCCAACCCTTAACGCTTAGACCAGCTGGATGTGAACCTAGAGCGATTTGGCATGTCCATGTTCCAAAAGTAGATGGATGTGTGGCCACCCATGTTATTTGTAGGCATGGGGGCACATGGGGACCCTGTAAGGAACTCTAGGAAAGAAACAACATGACATGACCCTATCAAAAACATTAAAGGACATGTACTTTTTACTTGTACCGTACCAATTTGACCTTGAGCAGTTGGAGGGTCCAAGGTCCAGGGACACAACATCCCCCGATAAATCTCCACCGAAGGCCCTCTCTGTTTTTTTCATCGTGCCATCGCGGTTTTTTTAGGTCTTAGTCTTTAGGTCTTCCGCCTCATGGCTCTCTCACAACACCTTGATGTCCATCGCGGAATGTTTCGGCACGGCACCTGCGAGGCGCTCGATGCACTGCGAGTGCGAGCACAGGTGAAGGAGCGCGGGTGTCGTTCCTTTGGCTGTGAGGAACTCAACCTGCCCCAAACCATGGTAGGTGGACCTCCCTTATCGAGGAATCTGTTCCCGACAAGTCGTGGTCATCCCGAAGCACCGAGCTGTTTCACTCAGGTTTTCACTAGAAGTCACCAGATCGTTCCCATTTTACACATGGTCTTTCCTGGACTTCCAGGGCGCAAGCCAAGCATCACCCCCACGGCGGGGTCCACCAGGGTACCCTGGGTGCCATGGCCCCAGAGCCTTATTGGTTTTTGAGGGTTGAAGGATGGCGTGGTGGACGGAGGGTGCACCAGTGGTGTGGCCACCTGGTGTGGGGCATGCGCTGGACTGCCTTCCAAGAAGCAATGGTCTATGGTTTTTGATATTTTTGATAGATGAAGCATGGTGCAAGGCAATAGATGTTCGTGATTTATAAAACGCACCGGTATGGAGAAGTGAAGCCATTCTGGATCCAGGGGCTGAAACAATCATGAACAGTCTGCAAATGGCCTACATCAGTTTTGTAGTATGTTTGTTGTGGCCCTTGTTCTATAGCCAGCGTAATGACCTAAGATCATGGGCGCATAGCGGTAAAGCGACCTTGGCATGGTCAGTGGTCAAACGGTGAATTAGATAATCAGTTCTCAGACCCGTAGCGTATTGATTTGGGCGGCCTCAAGTTCCGAGGGAGGTAGGGGAGAGGCACCAACTTGGCCTTGATTGACCCCCCATATGGTTGGGACAAAATCCTGCACCAAAAAAACGAATATTATATAAAACTTAACCATTCAATATTCCCTCTCAAATCCTGCGCCACCTGTCGCTAAAAGCATTGAATTGGGGTCGAGGCTGATGTGACATTGGACATCATTTGTCCAGCACATGGTTGCTGATGCATTGACCATGGGATTTCGTGCTGTCCATCCCCGTGTTCAAAGAAAACAGCTGCAGGAATCCCTGCTGGAGCAGACCGAATTGGAACTTCAAAAGCGCCTGGGAATCCACAGACGGGGGGCGCTGCGCCGTGCTGAAGCTGTCGTAGGCTGTGTCGTTCGTGGTTCCATTCGGCATGGCGAAGTGGAAAGTGATGCCCAGCAGACTACGAAGCCCAACTCAAGAAGGGCACAACTCATCCACTCATATATCCCCTAGGGCTCTAACTATATCGCTCTAACTAGATCCTCAGGTTCGGTGGTTAGACCCAAACCCACCCCAACCACCGAACCTCAGGAGGTGGGCCAGGAGCCCTAGGGATCATATCCCCCAACATGCGCTTTTTTACGTAGGATTTCCAGCCGGATGACCATGGAACCTTCATGAACCGAACCGAACCTTCTTGATTCAGATGTTCAAGACCCCACGGCCCACGGCCGCATCAGTTGATATAGCATGTAGATTGATAAAGCCCCCTCATTTGGACTGTAGGTGTGGGTCTTCATCAAGTCTACATCTACATCAAGTCTACATTTGTACCACGGTGTTATGCGCCAAAAAACGAGGCTGGTGACGCAATCAAGTCGCTTGGCCTTCATCGTCAGCATCCCGGCACCCCACCTGGCACCTAGCTGCGCCCGCCCTGCTCGAGTCAAGGAACGTCCGGCGCTTGACAGAGCTGTCCTCGGAGAAGGCCAGAGCTGTCCTCGATGGCGGACGCTCCGAGAAATACTGCGTCGCACACGTCGTCTTGTAGGATTTACATGTTAGCTTTAGGCTGGTGGATTGCATGGGACATGTTTGGATCAAAAGATGGCTCTAAAGAAGTCCAACGGGTGATAAATCCTTATGATTTATGTTAATTTCCTGGACTCTTTGCAGACGTGTGCAGGTCTGCTGATGAAATCCTTGTGAACATTGGAAGACATCCCCCGGCCAGTTTTGGCATGTTCTGAAAGTTTTCTAGGGGTAAGTAGTTCCGAAAGAACAACATAGAACCATACCATAGTTGTGTGTTACTTCATGCTATACCTGCCCCTTCATCGGTTTGGGTCTTCTTCGCCACGCCGCTGCGCCCGAAGACTGATCACCCAGCCATTTGGCCCGAGACCGGCGGTGGACACCCGAGGCATCGCGTTTTGAAGCCTCCCAGCTGTGGAACCCGAACAAATCCGAGAACCCTTCAAGAACCCACCGCTCCTGTCGTCCTTACCGGTGGGGTATCCGCGGGAAGGCGTGGGGGAGACATAGCTGGATCTTCCAAAGATGCCGGTTTGCTGCAGTTGTTCATGGATAAAACATGAAAAAAGGCGGAACTTGGTCACAGTTGGAAGATCCAGATCCAGGCACATGTAGAGAACGAAGGCCTAAAGTGCTTGGGAAAGTGGTCCCATGACCCGACTACAGGTCACCAATGCTTGTGAACATGGGCCAACCCCCGGGCCTCAACGAACAACCTAGCGGCGGGGGGGTCAGCTAAGCAACATCACCCAGGGTTAAGACGCTCCCCAAGGCCTTCAAAGACTCATGTCGAAACATTTCTTGGCCTGCACAATGGCCAGGCGCGATCTTGTTTGTAGGAGAGTTCTTTGGTGACCCAAATTGCAATCACCGATATCAGACAGAAGCAGGAGACAAAACAATGCACCTCAGCTGAGGTTGAGAAGGATGTCTTGCACCTTGGGCTTGTGAATCAGACATGAAAAAGAGACTGCGTAGTCTAACTGCAGGAACATGTGCCAAGTGGACTTCTGATGAAAACCAAAGTTGTCCTGCAATTACTGTAGATTTCCTTCCATAGAACAATCCCGTTTTCGATAATAAAATAAACATGCAAAACCAATCCAAAGCAGCTCTTGAATGGTTTTGCTTCAGTTGTTTTCTTCCCCCCCCATGGGTCTTTTTGCATAGCGTCCTTGCTCCTAGTAGCGATGCCCTTTGTTTTTAGTAGCTTCATTGTTCCTAGTAGCGATGGCCTCCAACCGACTAGGGATGGCCTCCACCGTCCATCACGTCCTAGCTACTAGTTACTAGTAGCTTCTTGTTCCCCCCAAGAGAAGCACACCTCCCCCGGCGCCGTTCGAGGCACACTGTGGGGTACGACCATTCCCGGCTGGGCCACCGACTATGCGACTTGGGGAGACGTCGGCTGGTGGGTTGGAAGACCCTGGGGTGGTGCGTGGATGACCCGTGGGATGCCCCAACCTCTTTTTTTTGGGGGTGGGAGGGGAGAAAGGAAACCATACTATAAGTCATACTATATTATTGATCTATATTGAAAAATATTGGAATACTACACTCAAATGCAATAGGTAGAAAAATTGTTGATTTTCCAGGGAAACTGAGGGTGTGAAGGCTGTGGGTGAAAAGTGAAGATCAGTACATCAAGGGTTTTGCCGTGCTTGTCCTCTCGGCGTTTTGCAAGAAGGTGCGAGATAGTGAGATCTAACTCCAATCAGCTCACATTGATGCCGTGGATGTATTTGGTGAGAATTGTTCAAAGTTGCAGCTTCACACGGTATACGATGGTAAACGGTCATTCATTTTTCAGAGTCAACTGCTGCTTTCCATCACCACCTAGAGGGCTTGATACATGGATTTACATCGCCAATAGCATGACAGGAACATCTTTCAAAGGCCCTTGGACCTTCGTCCATTCAAGGTGATCCTGCTGGTATGCATCGTGTGCTGTGTGGTGGCAGCCATGCAACGGCGGAGTGGCAGCGGTCTCTTCTTCCTCCTGATGATCTCGACGGGTTTGGGTTTTGGCGTGGGTGCCTTGAGCGGGTAGAGCTGTGGGGCTGTGCAACGAGCGTGGGCTGTGAGTAAATACCCACCTCCCCCATGACATATGGGTATCCAGTTGGGCATCCACAATATGCACACACACACACACACACTTTGACATTGGGTTTTCAGTTAACTCAATTTCCCGAGAAAAGGAAGGGCTCAACGGCAAGGTGAAGCGTCCAATCACTTGAAGGTGTTTGAAAAAAAGAAGTGTTTTTCGTGATGCATGACTGCAGAAAATTAGTTACTGATTACTTAGCAGACCGAATTAACGCCGTGCATGGAAACCTGGTTTGGGGGACGTATCATCAAAACCACCATGAAAGCAAAAAAGAGTAGAACAGCTTGGACAACAGTTGATCGCAGGTACGTTTGCACCCAGGTCGGGGGTGTCTTCGTTGGCCGGAGACCCCCCACCTGGCTCCGGCCCCCTGCGTGTAAAAACTCTTGGAAACAGAGTGTGACACACACACACACACACACTCAGCCGCTTTGCGGCGCTCTGGCGCAAAAACCTAAATAGGCACCTAAAAAGCCTTAGAAAAGAAAGAAAAACAGAAAGAGCTGCGCTAAAAGGGCAGGAGAGAAAGATAGGTGTAGCAAAAGGTGAATACTTAGCCCTTGACTGGAGCAGGGAAACGAGCCTCAAGAACCACCTAGAAAAGCCTGAAAGAAAGCCCAAGAAACGACGAAAAACGCAAGAAAGAAAGCGGGGGCAGGGAGGGTGTGTGTGTGCATGTGTGTGTGTGTGTCTGAATACTTAGCACTCTAGAGTTACCGATTACTTAGCAGAAACATTAGGTGCAATAGTTAGGGAGCGGGACTTTAGTCTTAAACCGCCCGGGTAGAGTAGACTAGAACAGGGACAACAGAGGGAAAGGCACCGACACACAAGTGTGTCGAGTACCATTTCCCTCTGTTACCCTAATGAGGTGGGGAGTAGAGAACTCGGCGGGGGGGGGGGGGGTGTGGGGCATTTTTCCGTTTGCCCGGCGTTTTTGACGTTCCGTATACGCGAACAAGAGATCCGATCTCCACGGCAGGTAGTGGGTCCAGGTGACGTTCACGGAAGGTGGCCCTTAGATGCCGTTGGGAATGTGGTGGCTCATTCAGCCGGCGGTGCTTCCGGATCTTTTATCCTGGGAATTTGCGGGGCCAAACGCCTGGGCAAGAGGTTCCATGTGGATCCATGTGGTGGATCAGTGGCTTGCCAGGTGGGTGAGCGTTTGTGGAGCACATCCGAGGTGGAGTGTCACACATGTTGCTCTTCTTCGTGGAGAAAGAAGGAGAGATTTTCCCAAAGCTCGCAAAGCTGACGAGCTGAGCCGTTTCTTTCCACCCCAGATCGACACCACTGGTGTCAGGTTTTAGATGGTTTTAGGGCAGTGTACGGGTCTAGAGACTAGGCTCTTTGGCAGAATCATCAGAATCTCAGCAGAAGTCAATTATAGGTTTTTGCGAGGTTTTCTTTGGAGGCCTGGCCCCGCACCCTAGTACAGAAACTTTGCTTTCATCCCCTACTCCAGCCAGTTTCTTTTTGCAAGTGTCTATACTCCAACATACTTCAACTAATTGTAACTACAATTCGTAGCTTTCTTTTACACATCGACACTAAGTGAACCAACATGTCCAACCACTGGAATTAGACCCAGCCCCCCAACCCCCACAGAATCCAGCGATTGCTCGCGAGGAGAGTTCTGCGGCTCCACATGGTCCGAAGAGAACAATGTTTCTTGGCACTGATGGCCTTTATGAGGTCACCGGTCATTTTTCGACTCCATGCGTACAAGCTCATCCAGAAAATGTATAGTAGGCAGTGTTCGATGGAGCCTGATGAATGGTATACCTTGGACATTAGGAACTGCACAGTACAGGACGGTCTTGCGCAACGGGATGGTGGGATGGGACACATGGGAAGAATCGGTTTGAAGGGGTCCAGTCGGGAGTTGGACGGATGTTTGGGTCAATGGTTGCAGGATCTATGTCTGTCCACTTAGCACTTGGCACCCAGGAAATATCCTTCTCCCATGGTGACGAATACCCTCTTTGCTGAGGTGTTGTGAATACTGAGCTGCAAGAGGTAGGTCTAGAGTCTAGGAGTCTAGGCGCGTAGAGTCGTAGAGTTGGGGGACACCTTCGTGTTTCAAGCAACGAAAGGGGGACCACAGATCACTTATCCTGTGCTTAGGACTGGCTTCTTAATGCTTTTTGATCCGGGAACCACGACCATCTGTCCCTATCCTGTTCCTCCATGAAAACCAGGGAGCCGTTTCACTCGGCCCTTCTAGCGATCGTTCCGAGGAGTGGATGTATGCATGGCTCGTGGCCCTGCTGGTGACGCCCTTCTCTCCAGCGGCCTTGGCCAGCATGGCCGTCACCCGTTTCCCAAGTAAGCAGACGTGGTTGGGAAGGTTTGGACGTGGAGTTGGGGTGCAAGCAACTACAAACCCAACAAAAATCCTCCCTGCAAAGACCCTGGATGGAACATATATACATATATTCATATACCCTAGAAGTCCAGTTCGACTATATTTTGACTGTCTGAAGTAAAGGAAGTTCCCGAACTCAGGTCCCCTAGTCAGACCATTCTTATTATAGTCTTTGACTCCCAGGCTATATATATATATGTATACATATAAGTATCAGGACCCACTGTCGGCGTGGTCAATGGACAGCCCGAATCACCTCCAAGGGGCTATGAATAGAAGCCCCAAACAGGGGGGATCTGGTAGAAATTGGTATAAGCTGATTCTGACATCCAGTTGACTCAGGTGAAGAATGCTCAATACCGATGGTCTTGGATGGTGATCCTCACTCTTTTCCTACTCGCTTTGATCCTGGCAGTGGTCGAAGCGGCACTCTTCCTTGCTTTAGAGCTGGAATTATCAGGAATGATGACCGGATTTTGGATCATGAGCCTTGGAATGGGAAGGCTTGGAATGATGTTATTCTTTTCTCCGCACTTTTTTTTGTTTAGGGCTTTAAGCCTTGCAACTGAGAGCTGGATGCCTTGCAACTGAGGGCTGGAAGCCTTGCAACTGAGAAGTAGATGTAAACAGATGTAACTACAGATGCACGCACTGTGATGCCCTAACACATGGGTACGTCAAACAGGGCAATGGCCTGTTGGATGCCTTTTTTTTGCGAAGACCAAGTCCAGGTGGCGAACTCCACTTCCATGGTGATTTTAAGTTACCCTAGGGCTCCAAGTACCTCCTCAGAAGGTATTTGAACCCTCCAAACCCTCCCCAAACATCCCCAGACACCTTGTAAGGAGGTACTTGGAGCCCTAGGGTTATATATCCCCCTATAGAAAAACATCACAGCCACTTAGATTATGGCGAACATCACCTTCAAAAGCCAGTAGCCTTTCGAAAACGGGAAACGAACGATGCTCGAATGTCTAGGATCTCTTCAGCCTTCACGGTGCTCGTCCTCCTCGTGGACGTCTGGCAGAACGGCTTCCGCTGGCAAATCGCCTACGGCGTTGTCAGTGCCGGCATGTACATCAACGGAAGCCTTACATTGCTGCTCTTGTCGGGTGCCTAGGTTTTCTTTAACGATGGTCTGAACAGGTCCCTGGTTTTGCTTAGGAGGATGTGTCATGTTCATTCATGGTCCATCATGTTAACCATATTTTCCCTATATGAATTATGAGTGAACCCCCCCTTCTGGTGAACATGGAACATGTTTCCCCTTCCAGCCGTCGTGGAGCAGCATGTGCCTGTCCAGCCGTGCCTGTCGCCGTGTTCCGCACCTGGGAGGGTGACTTCGGGTCCGAAGTCAAGTGTCCCAGTCACCGGAGGTGAAGTGACCGAAGTACTAGGGATACGTATAGAATAGTCTACTGTATAGGGTTCTGACCCACCTCTGGCAGTCAGATGGAACAAGGTTAACCTTTTGTTCAAGGGAAAAGGAGTCTAAAAAGCTAGGTGTCCACCCCACAAGAAGCGAGGTCGTGCGTTCCTTTTCTTGCTGCGGGTGTGCTATAGTTTGCCAAAAGATATGTTTTCGGATACTGAACATGTTAACTTTATTTCATAATTAGCAGTGATGCAAGCACCCATGGAGGTCTTCATTTTTGTATTTTGTATTATAAATATATATCAAAATTATATGTCATAAAGTGGTGCGAGGATTTGTCGACCAACCCGCTTGTCATTCGAACAGTTCGTTGATGCTTTTGAGGCGTTCTTCCAGTTGCCTTCAATGCCAACGCGCTCTTTCATGTCTTCGTGATCTTGATGGTCACGCACCTGCCAAAATTCATCGACATCACCGTCGTCTTTTTACATCCAGTCCCAGGTTTTACCTGGTACATCAATGTGTTCTTGTATGACCTTCAGCCCCCAAAAGGGGGTAGTGTATTTGAGAGCCCAGGCAGCTGGTTAAGATTGGTGATGATTGGTGTGTTCCATTTCTTTACCTCGGACCAAGCTGCGGACACCATTGCTCCACCAGTCGTCGTTGCATCACCTCGGGGGTTTCCAGATATGCCCGGACCCCCGTGTCATAGATAGATGTTCGTAGATCCCCATGTAGAACATGTATTGGACACCCGCCTCTACCTTCTTCAGATACCATAATTCAGCATCATTGGACGAACTGAAAGACACCTGGACTCCTGCATCTTTGCGAAGACCCGGACTCCTTCACCAGAGCTTCACCGGCATTCTTGGGGTCCTTGATTCTTGGGGTGTGTATTTTCAACCATTCACTTGGGATGATCGAACCCTTAAGACTCAAAGTCTGACATATACGTCTGGTTCGTCAGTTGAAACCACCAAGCAGAAACTTGTGACACCACCCGCTTCTTCAGGTGATCTTTGCTTTCTTATATCGATCCGAACCCTCCACGGCCAAGTTCCAGTTGGCTGCGACTCCCAAGAGTACACAAGAGACACCGACTGCAGAGGCGAAAGTGACTGAGGAGATCTAAGAATTTCCATTCGAATCCTTGCCGGATAAGCTGTTTCATACGTTTTTGGTGAATGCCCTGAGGAAATAACCTGTGCAGGGCTATTTTTGTTGCCTTTTCTTTTTGTTGCCCTGCCGTTTGGGCGAACAAAGTACCGATGTCCAAAAGGATGGGTCGGATGTATGGACGTCCACAGTTCGGCTGGCACTAGTCTCCCCGTGGAATGCATGGAGGGAGGCGATTTTGTAAAGGGACGATGTTGTAAAGGTCGTCACAGGAGACGCCCGCGGTCCGCACCTAACGAGAAGAAAACTGTGGCGGCTTCGGGACGGAAAAGGGGATGAAAGGAAACTCGACTTGACGAACACATCACGGTGGAAGGGGCACTGGTCACTGGTCACCTCTTTGTAAAGGAAAGTCGTGTTCCTTTGCGGGCCCATGCTCTCCCCATTACTCTCTGATGTGTTCGTCAGAGTGTAGTGATCCACAAGTCCGATCAGATAGAATCGTGGACATTTCGCACATGTGCATCGAGACGCAACGGTCCCGTCATTTGGGTGCGCAAGAGAATTCATTCTTAGGACAATTCATCACTTTGCATGTTGCACAAACTAAGAAGAAACAAAGCAAACTCAAGAAGAAACAAACCAAACGAATGGGCCCTGGCTCAATTCATTCAACAAAAAATGCCCCCCCCAAAAAAGGACCACTCACACACAAGCACCAGTGGATACCAGTGGTTTTCCACTTCCAAACCCAACATCTTACTTCAGGTTTTGTCACCGGAAGTTCCCAGAAGTGAACTATATACCTTAGGCCTGTCCGAACTTACCTGCAACAGTCAGTAAACAAGAACATCGCCATTTTTGAACAAGGCCTGCCACCTAATCATCATCCACTGGGCCCAGGTAGACTCGGATAGACCCCATCTATACCGATGTGGTGCCCTTTTCTTTCGAGAACACCTCCCCTCCCGAAAACCGTCGTTTCTTCAGCCCCACGTCCCGTCGCGGCGGCGTACGCGCTGGGCTGCTTTTCTGCGTCACCCGTGCCGATCGACGCATCGATGGATCGTGCAGGCGCAGTGGCAGTGGGAAGCTGCGGAACAAGGCGAGGAGCGGCGAGTCCACGAAGGAAGTGGATATGGGTTCGACGTGGGGAGGTTTTGGAACTCTTCATACGGGGTCAGATGTATTTGGATGTATGTTGCATAGGCGAACGATGACTAGCAGCTTGTTGATGTTTTTAACTTGCGGGTCTGGCTTTCTTTGGAAGATCGTCCCTGTTTCCTTGGAGGAGATACGGGTTTTGTGGGTAGCTGGTTGCACAGTATGCAGGTACATCATGTGGGTTAGCCAAAGTGGCCTCAGTTTGATTCCCTCTCCTGTCTCAGGCAAGGCAGCGAATCAGCTGCGCCAGCGCCTGCAGATGGCTGAGGCACCCGCAAATCAAGCCAAAACGCCGTACCCTCCCTCCAACTGCCCATGGAAGTGGAAAATACCTCGGAACAAGGATCCAACTCCGGGGGCTCGTACCATCCACGTAACCATGTGAGTGACTCGGACCTCGGAGTGTCTTGGGGAAACCACTTAAGCTGGACTAAATCGGTTCCGCACTGAGTGGGTGTTGCCTTTGCGCTCCCTGGAGTCATGCACAATACTTTAAGGATTCGGTTTCACGGGACGGTAAGTCTTGGTGCAAATTGAAAAGTGTTCAACATTGCAGGATCAAGTTCGAGCTCAACCCTATGGCCTATGGCTTGTAAAGAAGTGGGAGAAACACACACACACACACACTTTCCCTCTCTGCCCTAAGAGATCTATAAGAGCTTGTCTACACAAGGGCGTCGTACCTGGAGCACTCCCCTCAGGAGAAGCTATTAGAGGCGGTCCGAGAGAACAGGCGATACGCTCCGCGATGCGGCCGGTGGTCGTGTGCAGGGAGAAGTCCGGTCGCGAAGCGGGTGGGTCGCTCAGATAAGAACCTATACCAGACGCTCCATGTATGCCATATATGCCTACATTGGGGTGGTTTGGGGGGTCAATGTAGGCATATATGGCATACATGGAGTGTATGGGCTATACCAGCGCCTTCACAGCTGGTGTGAAGGCGCTGGTCGTATTCAGACCTGAAGAGCCCTCCGCTGGCGGCTTCAGGGTGAGAGCCACGCTACACAGACGTGGAAAAGCCCGAAACCCACATCCAGCGGAAACATATAACACATGCCCACCCTGCAAGGGTGCAGGATGTCATTTCCCAGCCTATCAAACATCCACCATCATTTACCCACACTTTGGGGCTGTCCGAAGTAGTCTAGGAGGGTGACCAAGTTTGATTGTGTCAGTTGGAACATCCGCATCGCACACCAGCAGCTTCCGCAGGGCAGAAGCAGAGGCCAGCTTCTTATTGGCCGAATCCCGGAAGCAGCTGGCCACTCTGGAAGATGGCAAGAGATCCTTGATGGAAGGCCTGCAGCCGCCCGATGTGGTGCATTTTCCGTGGGCGAAATGTGTTTTGCTTGCACTTTTGGATCGCAGAAGGTCCCAAAGTCATTTGGTTTGGGCACGGATCTTGGGATAGTCAAATTGGAGGTGAATGATTTGGGGGGGGAACATATTGCCAAATTGGGAGGGTTATATAATCATGCATAAATCTTCAGAAGTCTGCTGAATAGACCATACTGGCACCTGCCTGGGAGTGGTGCCTGCCAAGAACTGCAGGGCAAGTTTGGTCAACCTCCCCTCACTCCCACCCTCCCCTCCCTCCCTTTCCTCCTGCGTTGACTACGTCTTCAGGCTTGGAGTGGGAGAAAGCTGCATCGGCCTCAGAGGGTGAATGAGAGAGACAACTCTTCAGTGAAATAGACGGGTTTGACCATCAGGTGACCATTAACCCTGGAATCATCATGGAAGTGGGAAAACAACTGCTTGGTATTTAGAAATTGGTCATCCAAGGAGCCATGTTCCACTCCCATTACTTTTTCAGACAGTGTATTCTTTGTTGGGGGTTGATTGAGTTGATTGACCCTGCAGCGGTGGCTACGAAGAGATGCAATGGAAGATAATGGAAGATAATTGAATTGACCTGTTGCTCATCAACCTACAACCATCCTCAAATAGATAGAATATGACCAAACCAAACATATATGACAGGTTTAAGTTTTTTTTAAATGTGCTTTTCGATTTTCCAAGATTCGATCCACTCTAGAATGACCATCGGCCAGGTGAATACTGAATACAACCCCCTAGACCATTCCCAGATCGATGTTCACCCCCCCCTAGACCTCGTGAAAGATCTGTTTGCCCATGTTTGCCATAACTGGTATGCGGCATGCATGCGGGTGATTCCAACAGCGTGGGGGGTTGTCCATGGCTCCAGGCATCGTCCTTCACTAGGAATTGCTCCAGCAGGAAGACTTTCAGGAAATCAGGAAAGTGACGGAACAGGCATCTCCAGGCCACTTGTGTCGTACATTGATGAGCATGAAACACGTTCATTGAGGTCCTTCAGTGCACAAGGGTTTCACTTGTTTACCCGGCCTGAAACCATCAGAAAGTGGAATTCACCATGTGGTTTGTGTTCGGACAATGGTCATCCAAACTCAGGGCCGTGCCATCCAATCATCATCCGCTGTTACTCCCTAGGGATCCAAGTACCTTCTCAGGTACGGTGATTGGAGGCACTGTTATGTAGGTTTGGAGGGTCCAGTCGTACCTTTTGAGAAGGTACGACTGGATCCCTAGGGACTGGTATAGAATCAGATATATAGACCCAACCGTGGGAACGACCTGGCCAGTGGCCCAAGGAAGTGCATCGATTCAAGGCAGAGCTGCAGCGTTGGGAGGCCCAGCCCGCTCAGGCCCCGGAGGCACGAGCGCCACGTGAGCCGTCCAAGCAATCGGGGTAGACAGAGGTTGAACAGCCCCATAGCCCATCCCATATGTACCACAGACCAGGGTCCGAACGTTCAGGTCTCTCAACCTCTCTTCAGCAGACACGGCACATGGCAACCTGATGCTTATTCAGACCGGCTTCGAATTTGGGTACCCCTTGGCTGACCATCAGGGAGACCATGCAGGCCTGGTTACTGCGAAAGAAGGGGGCCTAGGGATCCCAGCGGGTGTGCATTTTAATAAGGATACTTCCAACCCATGAGTAGACTGGTCTAGTTTTCCACTCTTCCAAGGGGTCGGGACGCCTGGGAGGTATCCCTAGTTCACTGACTCAAGCAGCTCCTTGGAAGGTCTTGGGACATCAAAGTCTCTCCAGACATCCACCCTACTCCCAACGGGCGCGAGGGGCGACATGTGACATGAAGCAGGCTGGGTGGTTTCAACCTGTACGGGAATCCGGTGGCCTCTCCCCCTTATATAGGTGCACCTCCTTCTTGGTTCCCTTTCACTCGACTGGGTGCGCAGGGGGGTTTGGTTGTCATCTGATTGAAGACCCGATTCAAAGCAGACACCCAGGTGCGGTGCAGGAGCGCCGGGGGAGCCCAGCGGGCGCCCAGCGGGCCTCAGGCGAAAAAGACGCTGAAAGTATGGTCCAGACAACCTCTTATAAGACTTTTTTGTTATCCGCATATCCATCATGAATCATGAATCATATCTAATTAGATTGTTTGCCTCCATTATATAAAGTAATATCTAAACATCCTACAAAAGTGTTTGCCTCTTGACTTTGACAGCTCAAAAGAGTCGGTTTGCCCGCAAACTCTTCGCAAGACACATGTGAGCGAGCTTGTGACACTCTCGATCTCCACAAGCTGGGCACCCAAGTGACCTTTGAGAGCTCTCCAAGAGCTCTCCAAAAGGTCTCCCAGGGGTGAGTCATTGAGTGCAAGTGTTGGGGAGTCCGAGGCGATGAACCCAAGTGTTGTCCACCTGACCTTCCAATACCCTCCCCCACCCACACACACACGAACATGGAAGTGGACAATTCTTTTGCTTGTTTTCTCCACGGCCCATGCCATCCACGTAACCATGATTGTTGAAGGCATACATTTCACCATATTTAAACCATATGTGTACAATTGTTTACACACATTACACCACAATTGCCATTGAAATTGGGCACTGGTCTTTGCAATGCAGCCTGTGTTTGACCCGTTACATGATGTCCATGACGTCCGGTCACGTCCGGTCCGAGCGGGGCGGGGCCGGGCTCTCAGGTGATCTTCACAAAGCTCGAGAGATGGAGCTGGTGGCGCCTGGGACGGAGTGACACGGAGCTCGGATGGAGCAAGTCCAACACCTGGAACAAGCTGGAGTCCAACCCACAGGACGAGGTTGGACCGTTTGGAAAGAACAAGACGCATGGGAAAGACCTGGTGTTGTAAAGCACATCCCTATAAGTCAAACAGCCGGGTTGTGCAGTCACACAATCATGGAAATCACATGAACTTAATGGTGGGGCCACGGTCACCGCACGGTGGGCCCATCGACCCCATGGGACTGCCATGTCGGACTGCCGAGACGTGGTGCAGTTGGGGTGGTGCCAGGGGGGTCTGTCTGGGGCGGCAGTCCCACGGCAGTCCCATTAGTCGTGTTTGGGAGATGTATACGTACCCCTAGGGCTCCAAGTACCTTCTGAGAAGGTGTTTGGGGTGGGATACGTACCCTACGGCTTCTGTATGTCATATTCCGGATCTATCCCAGACACTCAGTCCCAAGGAGTCTATGGGAAGGGTGTGTTTTGAGATGAACATCCGTGGAACGCGTGAAGAACCGAGTCACCGGTGCGTCTGAGCGTCTGAGCGTCTGCCATGGCAGACGTTTGCCACGGCCACCAGCAGGTCACCACGCGCTCTGGTGATCGGAAGGAAGTGGATTTGGTGTCCAGATCTTGTTATTTCTCGCATCATTTGGTGTTCAGGAAGCTGTGAAAAAGAATATCTGTTTGCCAGAAGGGGGTTCACCCACCAAAAAATATCAAGGCCTTAAGCAAAACTGGGTTGTCGGGTGGCAATGGATGCCATGCACTGACCATGCCATGCCCAAGACCGACGTATAGGCGCGACTATGGTGGTTAGATGTTGCTGGGGTGTGCAGCCGGGGAGATACAGAATGCCAGGTTTGAAATGCTCATTCAGTGCATGCGCTTGCCGATCCGCTTAGGAGGTGGAATCCAGATCACAGCCCCTGGGCGAAACTTCTTTGTACGCGGAGGCGGAGGCGTTTGGATGGTCCGCTGTGACCAAACTGCCTCCAAACCTTGGGAGGGGTGTGACAAGTTTTCTTTCTTCACAAGGCTAACACATTTGTGTGGGTGGAAAACAGCGAGAGTCAGAATTTTCTACATGGATCTACTGGGCGTTGGTGTATGCAGTCAAACAAGGAGACTTTCCAACAAGTAGGCAGCCAGATGTTGGATGGGCCATGGGCATTTCAAGTGGTTGTTTGTTGACTGGATCTCGGAATGCGTTCCTGCATTAGCTCATACAGACGGACACGTCCCAAATTCGTCACTGCCCGGCTGTCGAGTGGCGATGTTTTCAATGCCTCAAGTAATTGTGTCCAGTCGAACCCCCTCCAGTCAACAGAAAAGATGGGCACGATGTTCACGCTTGACACGAGTCCGTAAGAGACCAGAATCAATGGGCTTTCAGATGCTTTCAGTAGGTGTTACTCGTTTGCGGAGACGGGCATCGCGCGGGCATCGTTTGGACGCCGCTGGTCACTGCTGCTAAGGGGCACTCTTCGAAAGCTGCAGCTGGAGTACGCGGAGCTTTTGGCAGGTGCTAGTCCTATGATTCAGGATGAACACCGTGATCCAAGGTGAGGACCTTCTTATTACCCAGACACGGCCCATGGGACTGGCATATTTACCTACATTGACCCCTTTTCAACCACCCCAATGTAGGTAAATATGCCAGTCCCATGGAGTGTCTGGGTTACATCTTATTACTATAGTTAGACACTCGACTTTGTTGCGGCAGTTGGTGGACTGAGAATGTGTCATTGTTGTTTCATGTTTTTTTGTTGTGTGTTGTGCGTGTTAGTTATATTTAGCTACCTGAGAGACTTCTCCCAATTTAGGGTAATTACCGTAGTTTATGTTTGGGATTGTTTGCGCAGTTCATTCGATAGTTTAAATCACCGATCAGTAAAACAGTATGGTGTTTATGCTGGCCCTGCCCTGAAAGAAGCCCAGGAAATGGAAGATGATCTTCCTTGATGAGGGATGACCTACCGACTTCTATGTTGGCCTTCAGTAGTCTAGTGAGAAGATCGAGACAAACCGAGACTCACAATAGACATCAATAGACTGATAAGTGGTTTGGGGGAACTTTCTAAAGCCCATGTATCGTTATGGATTCGATGGAATAATATGATTGTTTCTGATGGACTCAGCCTGTGTATAGCTTGAACCAAAAGCATAGAATCCTTGCAGCCTTTGGCCCAGTTCGAAGCCGTGCCTTTTCGCCGTCGAATCGACGTAGCGCTCGCGTCATGCGCAAAGCGGGGCTCTCCTTTGGTCTTTTGGCCGTCGCCAGTGGGAAGGTGTAGCTTGGCCAAGACTGGTCGCACAACACGCTCCAGACCCACAGTGGGCACTGTTGCTTGACCTCCATGACTCTTATCGGGTAGCTTTCTCCAGACTCCCTCATATTCCGTCGTTTGCGTGAAGGAGTCGTCGACTGGCAGCGATCGGATCCTCGCTGATGTGAAATGATGTGAGGTACTTCTCAGAGACTTTTGGCAGTGGATGGGAGGACCGATGGACCTCCAGTGAATGGATCCTTGGCATGCGGACTCCGCCTTCCACTGGCGGGAGAGTTCCTCTCCCCGTGATTTCCCAGGTCTTGAGGTGGTTTTGTGACTGTCCCTGACTGGGTGAACCGCCCTGCTGCGGCAAGTTGTTTTCGTTTTTGCCCGGTTCTTGGACATCATATCCCAAGGTCTCAATTAATGTCAAAAGCAAAGTTACTCTCACTGCAAACAAGATGGCGTTGAATTGATGTCATTTTGCAGGGTTTGCGCGCCATCTATTGGGCCGGCCTGGATCCTGGCTGAGATCCTTTTTTTTGGCCTTGAACGGGTCTTTAAGAGTGGACTCTTTTGTTTCCAGAGTCGTTTAATTCGGGTGTGTCCCATGAAAGCAGGTGGCCAGGTGGCCGGGATCACCATTTTTGAGATGGAAAGGCCAGCAACCTAACCATCATCCACTGAATGTAGACTGGTAATTATGGGATTTTAGGTGGATTTATATGCCAGCAGTCACAAAGGGGTGCCGAACTTGGAGGATAGGGGTGCCCAGAACATCCACTCACTGGATGGGACTAAAAACCACCCCGTCTTGTGACTCCTGGTGCTCAAGTTTTGTTCTAAAACCATCCGCTGGGTGAGCTCAGGAAGAAAAGCGACGGGACACAAGGAACCTGGAAGCTTTCAGCTGGCAAGTTGTACAAGGACTTAAGACTTGTGTGAAGGATTTCATCGATTCTAGATGAGTTTGCACAGTCAAGACCCTGTGGTTGAAGAATGTTGAAGAACTATACAGATGAAGAATGGCCACCAGTCAGGCCACCAGTCAAGAATGTTGAAGAACTTCCGTGGGATTACAGGCTGAAAAACTCTCATCTACGAGAGTTTTGCTGCTGCTCCGATGTCCGAACCTTGTTCGCTTCTTGCTTCTTGCTTCTCTTGGTGCAGGAAAAGCATGGAAAACCATGGAAAAACCGGTTCTTTCTTACCTATAGGATCCTATAGGTATAACCCTAGAAGTCGAAAGACTATATTTTGCCTCGGTGATGTAAGGGAAATTCCCTTTCAGCTACCTTAAAGACGTTTCTTTTTGATAGTCTTTGACTCCCAAGTATAGAGATGTCCCCCCAAAGACCCATCGGTCCAGCTATGCACTCCATGCCCTGGGCAGGATGAGGCGGAGGACCAAGGCATTCAGACGGCGGAGGACTCGCGCTTCTTTGGTCTCTCTGCGGGCTTTGAGTCCTTCAGCAACGAAGGCAAGGAGCTCATTATCCAGTATCAAGCCAAGTACGAGAAGGAGCAACGTTGTGCTTGTGGTCAATCATGTTTTGGGCTAGGCATGCGTGTTCAGCAGGTTGCTGAAGTAGCTTGCGCTTAGACGGTTGATGTAGGTTGTTGTTTTTTCTCCCCTGTCACGGGCCTAATCTATATACCACCACCATTCAGCCAGACTTCTTGGACAAGCTTGCAAAAGAACGGGGGGCACCACAGACCATACAGTACGTTCTTGAGGACATCGAGTGTGGCGGCGGCTACGTGAAGGTGGGCCCCAAGCTCAGCGATCCCAAGGCCTTTGGCGATCCGACGCTTGGGTGTCAAGCATGGGACCTGGAACTGGGAGATGGACAAACACAGCACAGCTGTAGGACCACCGAAAACACCTTACAAGGCCGTTGGGGGTTTCGTTTCCCTGGCCCCTGCTGGAACAGGGGATACATATCAACAAACACAAAACTAAAACCATGGGAATAGACAACACTGGAAGGACATGGGGTTGAAGCCACTCTTCTGAACCCTTTTTCGCCACTTTGGCCGAAAGAGGTTATGCAACTATTCTAAACTGTCCACTGTTCGCGTTCTATACCAGCGCCCTCCAACACATCTCCTTTGGAGGGTTGTTAGGCCGTAAGAGGTCTCAATTGGTGAGCTGTTGGAGGGTGCTGGAAGAGATGGTTGATCCTAGTCTTGCTTGAGGTCTTTTATTCCGTGGGTGAATCCACTTCCGGAGAGTATTTTGTCCTGGTTCCTTCATCAAATCCCAAGAGTCATGCTTCCGGCATGTTATTTTGAATAGGATTTGCAATCATCAGAGGCTTGCAAAGCCAACTTGCGCTTCACATGTGGATGCTCATTGTTTTATGTTTGTATATATTTTAAGCTTCCTGGTTTGGCCCACCATTGATTTAACTACTGTTTTTTGCACCGCACAAGCATTTATATATTTGACTACAAGGATTGGAGTGCAAAAACCCCGGGTCAACCGTATTCCCTGGAACACAACATATTCAATATACACCCTAGCCTTCCAAGACCGTTTTGAATACAATTGAGCTGGTTTTGTAGGGTTAAAAAATCCTTAGTCAGTCCAACATGATTGTTCAGTGAAGACTATTAAATGAATGGTGGGCCAGGAGGCCTAGGATTTTTCGCTTAGGGCACCCTTTACTAAGTGAGATTCCCCGTTCTTCCTCGAGGATCGTCGTGTTGAAGAAGTCTCGCGCCATTCAAGAAGGGAGAGAGCATGAGGTCTCGCCATTGAGGGGCTCCCTTCTTAGTACATATTTGCGGCCTAACACATCTAACACCAAGTTTGATGTCGGTGAGTTTTGGTTCTCGGGCTGCAAGTAGTCCGGTCCATGCCAAAGTGGTCAGGACTGCTTACAACATCATGTTCGGCCCCGACAAGTGCGGCTACACCAAGCGTCGCTGGGCTTCAACAGTGTGCTTGAACGATGCGTTCGAGACTTTTTGGCAGAACCCCCTCTCCTGCCACACGCACTCAGGAGCATTTCTCTTTTGAAGGGGTCAAGAGCTTTGAAGAACATGTAAGGCAGAAGAGCATAAGGTGTGGGATGCATGTCCTGACCATCCAACAGAAGCGACTTACTACGCCAGAGCGCACGGACGGCGAGACTGCGAGGTACTCACTTGATCTTCAACTACAAAGGCAAGAACGTGTTGAAGAAGTCCGACTTAGCCTATAAGCAGGAGGGTGCCCTGGTACTACTTGTTTGGTGGAGAAGAGGTTCGCAAAGGCCAGAGAAGACCCTGTGGAAACGTGCTTGAGGTGGAGGGAGTTCATGAATGAATGGGCATTTTGCTGAGTGTGCAGGAATGCATGTACACATTGAATCCTAGTATGACAAAGAAGCAGTGCAGCAATGAAGACATTGAATCGAACCTGCTTGGCCTTCTTTCTGGACGCCAAGCCTAGAAAGGAGATTTCGATTCTGAAGGTGATGGAGAGAGGCAATGAGCAATCAAGATATGCAAAGTAGGTATATAGAATGACGTTGCTGACTGACATGCCGGATCTATTCAAAATGACCCATGCTCAATCCTGTGCTTCTATGTTTTTTGCAAGAAGGGTGTTTCTGTGAAACTGGTTTAAACAGGCCTCGTAACAGTTGGAGTACAGACCAGTGGATTTTCCCACCATGTCCACCATTTGGCTGGGTCAAAGCGCCAGGGACCCTGGCTGAGCGCAGAGAATGAACAGAATAGACCACTGGAGTCACTGATAAGGGGTTTAGGGCTCTGGGTTTTGACCCACCGCCATTTCTCTGCCACACAGCGGAGTTCTTTCAAGTCTGGCTTTGTTTCATACAGGCGGGGGTGACTGGCACGAAGGTGAGGGCACAATTGCTTGGTGCCGCGTGCGCCTGCGCTGAGGTGAGGGCACCTCCCATGTCTACAGGCTAGTGCTCAAGCCGGACAGCACCTGCCGAGTAGAGATCGATGGTGACACTCAGCCTGAGTAGAGATCGATGGTGGGAGATTGTTTGGAGTGATTCGTGCGTCCAGCCGATGCAGGGAGTGTGTCTTTTTAGAAAACACATGAAAATAGGGTAACCTGGTTGAGGCCGATATTGCATCAAGATAAACAGGTTCAAACCAGTTGCTATACCGTGAAAGGTGACGCTTATATAGTAAAGGCTTCGATTGAATATGATGGAAGATGACTGGTTGGAAGATGACTGGTGACTAGCTGATCTAGCGTCCAGGATGTCCTTTCTGTCCCGAAAGGTTGTCGTCCGTCGTTTGTTTGAGCATGCAGGAACCAACATGTGGGTCGTGTATGCCGTGTCAAGTAGCACGATCAAGTAAGGAGAAGATCTACGAAGGATCCTTGAAGGAGGATTGGGACCGCTGCAGCTGCTTCAGAAGATTTTTTATTCTTTTGGTGTCACGTTTGTCAGAACTGTCTCAGGATTTGTTGTGAAAAGAGTCCAGATGTAATTTGAACAAACCAAAGTTGATATTCGGGAACGATTTCTGAACTAAACCAAAGTTGATATATCACAACATAATACAATTAATAGTATAACAACAACAGTTAACATATAGAACCCATATCAAACCCCCTCGCGTCTCCATGTCCGTCTTCATGTCTCGTCGTATTCCAGCCGAGGAGTTGTTGGCTCCCAAAGAGATCAAAGATCCGGACGACAAGAAGCCCAGCGATTGGGTAGATGATAGCATGATGGATGACCCAGAGGTGCTGCCAAATGTTTTGCTTCTTGCCGCGGGGGCCATGTTTTGCTTCTTGCCGCGGGGGCTGGCCGCTGCCTCTGGGGGTGGCAGCAAGCGGGGGGTTCTTGCTGCTCGTGTTGCGGCCCTTCAGGACAAGAAGCCTGCAGATTGGGTCGAGGAGAAAAGGATCGTGGATTCCAAGGCCAAGAAGCCAGACGAGCCTCACCGGACGGCTTCGGCAGAAACCAATTATATATTCAAGCCATTAAAGGGAGCGCCATGCGAAAAACCAAACAAAACGATATAAAAGGCACCGTTCCGTTCAGCAAATAGGAAAGAAACAAGCCTTGCAAGAAGTGTTGGTTACACATGGTTGGAGTGTTGGTTGGAGTGGCTGACTCTTAAGGATAATTGGTGTTTTGAATGCTTGATTAGTTGCGATTGTTTAGCAGCATTTGGCGGCTGATTTTTACCGCTGGCGCGAGCAAACATAACATTGCTTGACTAAAAAAGTTGTTTGGGGGGCCCTACGTCCAAGTCCAAACAAATCTCTTTGCAGTTTCTCGTTTTGGGCGTTTCCCTGCCAAGCGAGACGCTCTTTGACGTGCCGTTTCTTCAGCTTCTAAGGATTGGGATGATGAGGAAGATGGCGAGTGGGAAGCACCCATGATCGACAACCCTGACTACAAGGGCCACCTGGCTAGAAAGATTGGATATATACACCCTAGAAGTCCAGTTCGCCAATTTTTAGGCCGACTGAAGTAACGGAAGTTCCCCTTTCAGCCCCCCCAGTCAGACCATTCGTTTTAGAGTCGACTTGACTCCTAGGGTGCATTGTTGTACAAGGGACCTCCTGGTATAAAGGGACCTCCTAGCTGCCCTAGCGTGCTGACCAACTCATAGGTTTCCAGACCAACTCATACCAGCTGCTTCCAGGTCGCCAGGCTGGACAACCCTACCCTACTTATAGGTCTCCAGACGCACCCATTGGTTTCGACTTCCCCGTTTCGACTTCCCCGTGTTGGACTTCCGAACCACCACGAGAACGGCCCCCGGTCGGCGAGGTCTGTGCCCCCCACCGGGCCGAAGGAACGGTCGATGACCGACGGACCACGGACCTGGAACGATGAAAACACCCCGAATCCGCCAGAGATGGAACGGACCTGGCCCATGCAATGCACTATTCCAGAGTGACGGACCGGTCCCCTATAGCTATAAGGCATAGGCCATGCTTTCAGGCCTAGAAACCTGTGCTACAGAGACCATCTAGTGGTTTTATAGAGGTCCAAGAGTCAGGTCCCTCCTTTACCCCGAGCAACTTGCGATGTGTTGTGGTGTCCGGGTGCTGTGCTTGAGAGACATGGAGCAGGGAAACGACATGGAGCTGGGTGCAGTAGGCATGTGAACAATTTTCGATGTGGTGCATGACCTTGGTGATGTCTTTATAGTGTCTTTATACAAGACCCCATGTCAATGAGGTGAAATTGAGTGGACTACGGATGGGTGAGTGAGTTGTGTATGTGACAAAGGACCAGGTGAAATCAAGTGAAATGGCTGGGAGGCCGGAGGTTCCTTTCACCTAGTGAATGCCAAGATTGAATATGATTGAATATAGCCTTATTTTTGGGTGATGATATGTGATGATGGGTGATTGGTGGATTTCCCCCTGGTTCTCAGCCAGATTCGTGATTTTTTTCTGGGTCCCTTACATCAATCCAAGGACCCACCGACCCACCAACCCACCCCTCATGTCCTACCGTTGGCTCCGCGCGGTTCGCCCACCGTTCATCACACTGTCGCAGCGGAGACGGGACGTGGCTGTGACCGCGCACGACCGAGGTGAGTGGACGGTGAAGCGGATCTCCAACCCAGCCTACAAAGGTGTCCTAGCTAATTACAATAATTACAGTGGATTGGGAGGACCAATGGCACAATCCCCAAGCTAATCCCTAGGGATCCAGGAGGTTACCTCCTCAGGTTCGGTATGACTGGGACCCGAACATGGCACCCACCCCAGCCCCACCTTCGAAACGAGGGTACTTGAATCCTTAGGGAATTAGAAGACCCAGACATAGACATGACCGGCCCAAGCGGCAGTGGAGAGAAACGATGATCCACTCCGCAGAACCATGGCCGGCTTCTAAGAACTGCTGCCCCCAGAACTGAGAACAGACTTCTCATCGAACTTCTAGACATCAGCAGAGATGCCTGTGGCCCTTTCCTGTTCACCAGAGGTTGAAACACCCGACGCCCTTCGACTCTCCCGACGGCGGACCGGGATACCCCAGGTGTTCCGGGTCCTAGTCGGGTCACTGGCCTCCTTTGCCAAGTGGAGAACCTCCACGGACGAACTGAAAAGGGCGGTCGACCTGTTTTCGATCCGGTCGGTCGATGAGAAGAGTTCCTGTTTTCATGTCGAGTTGATGTAGTTGGTTCATGTTTGTTCTATTGGGGTTGTGATTTGGTTGGAGAGATGAAATATATAGTATATTATATACCCTAGGATTCAAACAAGCATTGTTTTAATGGTCTTTACCAAAGAACCATTGTTTTACTAAGGATTTTTGCACTACAACCGTTCTTTAAATGGTCTTGGAAGGCTAGGGAATATATATATATACTGCATATTGAATTACAACCTGTTTTTGGCCAGACATGGCGGTTTGCACGGCCGAAGCTTCATGCAAACCTGTGACAATGTGATCAGCCTAGTGACTACCTGGTGGTGGAACTCAGGTATTTGGGAGGCCAAGAAGATCGCCAACCCCGACTTCGTGGATGACGACAGCCTCTACAAATATCAGGAGCGATGGCCATGTCGTGCCAAGGTGGTGTTTTTTTGGCCAGACCTCAGGAGAGGAGAGACAACCTAGGAGAGGTCTTGTAGAAAGACCTATGTGGTGCCAAGGTGTTGGTCGATATGGCCCGGCCATGATCACCCGTACCGACTTACGTTCCATGGCTGACCACCGCTGTGGTTTTAAGATGTATAGTATAGTGGAATCAAAGTCCTCAAGTGACCGGTCAGCTATACCTCAATTTGGTATACTCTTCGACCCGAGTAGCCCCAAATAGATTCCATGAGGGGATTTACTGTATTAAGCCTCTAAAGTTATAGGTTAAACCCTTGGATAGATTTGTTCGGACCTGCCGCGCTCATCAAATGTGTTAACACTCATTTTGCCCAGACTTTGTGTTACACTCCTAACCTAGACCCTGACGTCCTGGCCCCCTGGAAGAGTGTTTTCCTCTAGCAAACCAGTGGTTTTCAGGGTCCATTCGATCGTCTTCCAGTGTGGTGTTCGGAGACCGACTGTCGGGAGCAGCGGCTCGGGTTGGCGACTCCCAAGCGACGGGGCCCAAGGGTTTGGGTCCTTTGGGGTTCGCCCTGCTTCAGTGTGGAGACTCAGGGCCATCCATCCCAACAGAGGTGGGTCAGGACCCGACGCCCTTCGACTATCCCATATAGGTACGCCAGGTGACGGGTCCTAGTTCAGGTCACTTAATTAACCTCTCTTGGTCCCTTCCATCAACGTGCTTGGTGTTCCAGTTGCCAGGACTTTGGCTTCATCGGATTTGATCTGTGGCAGGCCGGGCCCTTTTGAAACCGTGGGTGACGCGAGGGCAGGACACCTGAAAGCTGGCAAAATCCTGTAGAATGTTCCGTGAAACCAAGTCTGGGACCGTTTTTTCTTGAAGGGTTTGATTTGACTGGCATTCTATGGGTTTCTTGATCGTAGTTGCTTGCTTGTTCCTGAGGCTCGGTGTGGCCGGGTCTTGTGTCTCGGTAGGCGAGAGCAAGAGGAGGTTGAGCAGGAGAAAACTGTCAACTTCTTGTTTGCACATTGTAACTGTATATGAGTTATAGGATTATTCTTCCCCCTCCTGCTCCTTCTTCTTGTGGACAGTCGTATTTTGCGTTGTTTTTAGTGGCGAAGAGGCGGAGAGTAAGAGTAAGAGGAGGAACCGCTACTTTTGCCCTTTGTTTTGCTTAATTTTATTCGATCCTCAGGCCAAAAAAGACCGCCACGTTTGTTCCTCGGCAAACGGAGGTCTTGACGGTCGTTGACGGTCATCGAGAAATATCAACCGGGGGTCACAGAGCTCGGGGTGGTGTGGCTCGTCCCATCTGAGTGAATAATTATGGGCACCCCCTATCCTCCAAATAGGCATCCTTTTGTGACTCCTGGAAGCAGCGACACATTCGTCAACTGTTTTGGCAACCGCAAAGGGGTGGGATACCATCGCTCCAGCGCTCACCAAACCCCCCTGTCGGCCGCACACCCCGTTTGACCAGGCTGGCAGGTTTTGAAATCCACCAGGTGATCACACACTCTACACCTCCAAGTACCTCCTCCGAAGGTATTTGGACCCTCCAAACCCACCCCAACAAATTCTTAGAAGGTACTTGGAGGCCTAGGGACATGTCACACTGGAGACCGTTCTTCGCTGCTTTCGCTTGTGTTCAATTTTCCCTCGCTCTGTCGCCCAAGCAGGTCAAAGGGAATACCATTTTCGACAACGTCATCATCACCGACGAGGTGGCAGAGGCAGACAAGTGCCTCGGATCAGCGATCATTTCCTAGGAGGTAGCGGGCAGGATTCACCGCGTGCATCATGAAGTTCATGAAACATTGAAATGAAAGCGCTGCAAGAGATTCTGTACAACACAACGTGCTTTTTTTTTTCCCAGGAGGGGGTTCATTCAACATATTCATGTCATAGGGAAGACACAATCATTTGAAGCAAACCACCTCCTGGGTAGCTTGTGCACCAACTGTCCCAAACCTTGAGGTCTTTGTCCCTGCAAGTTTTTGAGACTCAGGCCTACTACTGCTGCTGCTACTACTGCTACTACTACTGCTACTACTACTACTACTACTACTACTACGGCTACTACTACTACTACCACCACCACCACCACAACCAGCGGTAGTATCACCATCACCACCATTACCACCATCACCATTCATCAAACCCAGCCTCATCCTGCTTTTGTATGCGTCCTTTCTTCACTTCATTTCTCTTGAAAAGAACCCAGCCAAACGCTGAGGTTCCTCCAGAAGTGGAAGGCCTTGAGTGAGGTGGAGAAGGCCAAGAAGAAGGACCGGAGCGCCCCCCCTGTCTGACCGTCTGACTCCCTGGAAGAAGGAAAGCAAGCAACCCAGGTTATCAAGTTATCATGTTATCCTCTTGAAATGCAAACCCAAATTAATTATTGGGTGTGAGTGCGATTCCAACCCTTTGGGGAAGAGTTTTCGCTCCTTCTTTACTCCACGCTCCGGGCCTCCGAATCCACAGACGTTTGCAAAAAGCAAACAAGATTTGTATTGTCCGTCCTGCCAAAAGAGACGCTAGTTGCATGTTGATGACCAGACTCCAGATGTAAAACCATGCTGGTAAGGGGTGGTTATTCTGTAACGGTCTACATTGGATGATCCAGTGTTTGAAGGCAGTTAGGAAAGGCCTGCGGGTGATTCTTGAGGAAGAGGATGATGCCAAGGCAGAGGAGGCGAAGAAGGCGGCAGACTCCAAGGATGAAGATGATACCTGGTTTTCTTGATCCCGCGTTCATGTGTTATTCCAGCATTGAATAGGTGACGGTCGGCGACATCCAAATTGATCCTTTCATTTCTCGCAGTTCTTGAAGATTCCTTAAACCATTTCGGAATCCATCAGCGTATATAACATGTTGCCTTAAGCTGTTGTTGTAGCATAAGAATCTGGTTCTTCTCTTTGGCCATTTGTTGGCCCAACTTTACTCCGTTCCTTCCTGGGGTCACTTCAGGATCTCATAGGGGCTCGTATATACGTGTTCGTTTGGGTGTTGTTCCTTCAGCCAAGGACGACGATGACTCGGAGGAGGAATGAGCGACGTCGTTTGACGTCTCCGTCCACGTCGTCGTTGCAGCTTTTCACTCCCGGACACTGTCGACGTAGGTGTTGCTTAGAAGGGAGCCAAGGAGCTGGGGGTATCCATATTCCTCATTGAACAGGGAGCCGAGGAGCTACAGGGAGTTCCCCAAGTACTTGCTAGTCGTAGTGATACGATGTGATACGGGTTCAAGCAGGAGAGAGAAAGAGAGCTTTTGGGCTTTGAAGGTCCAACATGTAGACATGAGGTGTTCTTGTCTTCTTGCTTTCACCAGTGATTTAAGATGGTTATGAGTTATGAGATGTTATGAGGATTTAAGGATTTCTTTAACGGAAGAACCTAGTGTTTCACTAGTCAATCCTGCCAGATTTCAAGAGAGAAGATAAAAATAATCGTGAGGACTAAGACAGCACAAGTGCTGTCGCTTTCGCTGTCGACGTGTCATTATGTTAGTTTGGGGGAGTGTAAGTTTTGTACACACCAAGGAGCAGTTTTGAGCGCCCAAAAAAGGGCGCACGACTGTAGATCTTATCAAAGACCTTCCTTGGAGCTATTTAGCCCTCGGAAAAAAGAAGTCAAGGCGCGAGAGGTGCCAGTTTGAAGGCTCTTGCCGCATTGAATCTCAAGGAGCAATACAATGGACTCTAGGAGGTGCCAGTTTGAACCTCTAGAGTCAAACCTCTAGGACTCTAGGAGCAATACAATGGATGGAGTCCTGGACATCCTGGGTCGATCGTGACCTTGGCATCCGAGGGCTGGAGCAAGACAGGTCAGCCAGGCGCGCTGAGGATGGGAAGAGGCGTCACGATCTACGCGCTCAGCTCGTCGGGTCACTGAAGACCCAGCCCTGTCGGGTCACTTCTCCCGCACCCTGCAACAGCAGGTCTCCGAAAGGTGTGGTTTTCGGAGACCTGTTGGAGGGTGCTGGTATATAATAATGAACATACAAATGATTCCAATGACCAGACTTGATGAGGGAAGACCTGCGGTTTGGCGCAAGAGGAGTCTCAAATGCCCCCCCGCTCACCCCAGGGATGGTGCAGGCCGTGAGGCTCCAGATGAGGTACACTCCCTGAAATCATAGAAATGATTAGATGAAATGGATGGCATAGCTCTGAAAGGATGGTTCTCTGAACTGGGACAGAGAACTGGGGGCAGCAAACTGGGGACAGGGAACTTGGGACAGGTGGCGAACGCCACTTCCATTGTTGGGGGGTGCATTGATGGTCTATGTCACTTCGGGGAGTGCACCACAGTCAGGGAGCGTAGCCGGTGGCATTGCTATAACCTAGCCGATCGCAGCTGTCGCGCTGGAATAGCTTCAAGATGCTGCGGGGGAAGCGCAGCAAACAACTGTATATAGCTTGCAACACTTGATTATCAGTTATTTTGTTTTAGAATTATTGTGTTCTTGCTTTTCTGAGTGAAGGCCATCCTTCAGTAAGCTCATATATTTATATATACATATACATATATATATATGTTTCCCGGCAATGGGATTGATATACCCAACACGGATACCTTGAAATGGCTCAAGCTTCCCAATGTTTCCTATGGTGGTGATCCTTCTATCCGACTCTATCCTGGAATTGTGATCAGCATCTCCCATTGAACATCCATAGTGACCTTCAACTTTTTCTATCCTGGTGATAGGACCCCCATGCCACACCCACTTCCCACAAATAGACTATAGATGGTAGGAGTGATGAGAGGAGATTTCAGAAGGCACAAAGAGAAGAATGCGTGGAGATGGTGACCCCAGGGAGTCTATTAGTAGTCTAGTTAATGTCTAGCTACTAGTAGCAACGTACATATACCAGCAGGGCTCTCCGACAGGTCTAGGGCCCTTCCCCACCCTGAAGCCCTGAACCAACAACCTGGCAGTGAGTCAACTGGGATATATAGGCTTGTTCCACCTCTGGAGTCTCCACCACTTGCGCTGGGCGCGCGCGCCTCACTGTCTCGCTTACCCATGGCGACCCATGGCGCTAGCCAGTGACCTGGAGGAGAGCGAGCGCTACCCGACCCTACCGAGACGGGATTTTCCGCGTTGCGGTCTGGGGGGCGTCAGGTGGGTGAAGGCCAGGCCAGACATCCGGCCGCAGAGATGCAGGGGCCGGCCTGATGCGGCCAGGCCAGACATGTCGCCTTTGCGTTGGGGGAGATGTTCCTTTACTTGGAGAAATGCGGAGGGCAGTAGCTGAGCGAAAAGAAGCCATTCATGATTGTGCATGCAACTCCTGCTTGAAATGTTCATGAAAGTGGAGAACCACCTGTTGATATTCAGAAAATGGTCATCCAAGGGATCATTGTCCATCATGTTCCAGTCCCATCAAAATTTGAGTGTTCCTGGTCTCCAGTGGAATATATCCGGATTATAGCGGGTGTGTTCAAACACACCCCAGAAATTTGTAGGGTTTGGGTGCGTAGGGTATACCCTAAGAAGTCCAGTTCAACCATGGTTTCAACATTCATGTTCAATAGTTTTGGACTCCGCCTTGTCATCAAAAACAGCCAAGTGAGGCAGAAATTGGGCATAGACAGGTCAGTTCCAGGTATAATTCATGCAGGTTGACAGCCACCACTGCCAACTCAGACGGCCATCCAACTGGGCGACCATCGGTGCAAGGAGTTTGTGCGACCAGAGGAGGAGGTGCGACCGGTTGTTGGAACAATGTTTCGGGAGATCGTTCGGGATGCAGCACTGGTGGAATTGGACTGGACATGTTGAGAGGGTGCAGAGTTTTTCAGAGTATGATATAGATGGTGGACATGTCCACATGTTGGTTTACTGTATACCGGTCAATCCAAAAGACATCTTGGGGTTTGTGCCATCTAATTACTCAGAAACCACCGCATGTATTCGCAGGTTGCTTCCTCATCAGGACATCAACACTTACAAGGCCACTCAGCCTTTGCCTTGCAAAACAGTGGCCATGGCAGCTCCTGATTCGCACACTAGCCCCTTCATTTTTTGAAGCTCAATGGGCGGCCGCTTACGTTTCACACCACACATGCACGAAACCATCAGGAGGAGGAGCTCCCAGACCCCGTGGAGCGTTGTCGGACGCGTTTGCGAAAGCGGAGGCTGGGCCCGGCGGAAAAACACCGGGAGAGACCGCATGGCGATGGAGGCAGCACAAACACAAACCTGGACCATACATGACCATAGAAATCAATAGAAATCATAGAAGTTTTGATTCATAAGCCCCCCCATATGGAGAGGTTCTTAAATCCAAATGGTGGGCTTCACCAATACCCTATAAGAGTCAATGACGATTTGGGTGGCTCTCGATCGATGCCGTTTTCTCCCAAAATCCCCCAGCGGTTCGCGAACCGCGAATCGGTCGTCCATGTCCGCACCGCCCCGCTCGCCGCTCGCCGTCTCCCCAGGCGGAAGGTCACCGCCTCCTTGAGGAGGGCCTTAGAGGAAGATGTCGCTCGGCCGGTGCACGGCGGTAGGGCGGGGGGAGGGCCCCGAAAGCGGTGTGTTGGTTCATGTGCCGGATGTGCCGGAGATCTTGGCTTAGAAATGGTGCTTTTGATATGCTCCTGTTTTGGGAATGCTGCCGGCACAGCTTGTATTTGTATATTAGATGGGAAGTAAATTGAAAGGTTAGTTTAGTGTGCATTTTACAGCGTGGAAAGCTGTGCTCTTTCGGTTTGCATGGTTGCTTTTCGATTACCAGTGGTTTTTAGCGTATGAACCCCAGAAGCCGGCAGGAATTCATAGATTTCCGATGAAGTACATCAATGAAGCATACTATACTATACTGACTATACTATAAATACCAATCAACTCACCAGTATCAACTCAAAATGTAGTTATTGATCAACGAGTATTTTGACATCCTAATGTTTCTTGCTTGGCTTTCTTCCAAAATCATCCACTGCAATCTTCCGGCTCTATTGCGTGCGTGCGTGCTAATACAGGAAGACCTCCCAGTTCAACACCCTGGAGGAAGGAAAATCGACCAGTCTGCCAATCTACCCAGTGGTTGGGGATCTCCCCATTAAACTACACACCCAGGCCCATGCTAGGACCTTCCCAGAGACCGTCCGAGGTCACTTATGGGTCAGGTTTGTACAAGGTCGCTTACCAATCCTCAAGTTCGGTGGGAAGGTCCAGGTGTGGACTTACTTCGTTGGTTTTGCTTAAGATGATGTTCTATTTTCCATCATATGGGTGAATCATTACCCCTTCTGGGGAAGATACTTGATGATATTCCCTAGGGATCCAAGTACCCTCCAAACCTACATAACAGTGTCTCCAATCACCTTCTGAGAAGGTACTTGGATCCCTAGGGATTTGTATTTGTTCCCGGCTTCCTGGACAGCAAAACCCAGCTTCGCTGGATTCCCCTCCTTCTGACCGCCTCCCAAACGCTCCGAGCTCGCCGATTCCCGAGGAGAGGGGCCGCGCCGAGCGGCAAGAGGCGCACGAGGAACGGCTCAAGCGGCTCATGACGGAAGCCTTGGCTTATTTCGGATCGGAGAGATTTGTTGATAAACAGAAGCATTAAACAAAATCATGAGTGATGACAGTTTTGCTTTTTAATATTGTAATTTTTGTTTATGGATGTTGATTTGGGTGATTTAAGCAAACAAAACTGGGAAAGGATGTTTTTGTTACAGTGGTTGCAGAGTAGATGGCACTGGCAAGATGTGTTTTAGATGGGAGCTTGCATACAAAAGCTCCAAACTTCGGGTAACTTGTCACATCTACTCTCAATCCACTAAGTTACTAAAGCTTGCCTTCCCGGCTTCCAAATCAGCCACTAAGCCTAGGAACGCTGGCAGCGCCGTAAGCGCGAGGTTGCGCGGCCGCAGGGGAGGTTCTGCTGGGCGCACGGGGCATGTGGACCGAGAGAAGTTGTTTTTTTGTTTTTCTGGTGTGTCCTTTGTTTCAATTGAGACGGCTTCGCAATTGGTTTTAAATGGTTTTAAAATGCTTTAAGTTTTTGTAATGATGCCTTTAGACTAGTATATAATTAGTAATGGTGACTGTTGATCCATAAACGTCCTTAAAGCCCCACACCAGAATGGTTTTACAATATATTAGACAACTAATAAGGAGTGGGTTTTGTCAATCAACAGCCGACATTAGGGAGGAACAGAGTTTTGTTGCAAGCTTGTGTTTGTTTGCTGTTTTTTTAAGCTGAGCTCTTTCTAGGCCTGTATGCCGATGGGGGGGCCTTCCAAAACACGATTATGCCGCTTAAGCTTTAAGCACCAACCATTGCATTGCAGGTGCTTTGTGACTTCGGGTTTGCTGAAATACACAGTTTACAAAGGATGGTGTCATGGATTCCGGAGGTCAGTTCGTTCCAATGATGTCATAAATCATAAATATGATCATATGTTTCTTTCTGCACCCCACTCATGCAATGGGAAAGGATCGACCATACTACTTATTTTAGTCAACGAGACCGGTACGGAGCACTATCAGCAGGATCAGAAGCGGCACATTCGTCGCTTCCTGTTTAGAGCATCAACAAGTCTCAAACGTCGCAGCTACAGGCAGGTCGGGAGGTCACTCGGTGCATCCACTGACACCCCAACGCCCAAGGAGGCGCTGCTGCAGCGTGCTGCACGCCGCGCAGGGGAACCCAACGCGTGGCAGTCCGCGGTCGACGCGGACGGCGCGGTAGACCGCGGTCTGCGCTGGTGGAGTCGGTTTTGGGGTTGCGAGTTTCTGGGATCTTGGGTAATCTTTATCATTTTAGATGCTCCATCTCTCTGGCGTTCCCGGCAGGTGGAGGCCAACCTCGCCCCATCCCAACGCCTCAAGAACCAAAACCTCAAGATTGAGATCCTCAGAGCAGGACAAATGCCACTTACTGTACCCCTTCCACGGTGGGGTGTGTCAAATACTGTTACGCCCCATGTGTTTGTTTGGGAGAGCCTAGCTCGAGATACCAAACAAGTGCAGCTGTTGCTTCTTTCCAGCCGTGGGTGATTCTCATTGGGTATGGGGTGGAATATCGAGAGCTGTTTGATGATGTTTCATGTGCCTCTTGAACCCTGTTGATGTTTAGGTCTGATTCGATGATGCTTCATGTTCCTCTTGAATCCTGCTGATGTTTACATGCCGCTTGGAAGATCATGTTTCCCTAAAGATCCTACAGCATTTAGAGCGGTATGCTGCAAACGCACAGGCCGGTCCAAGATGTTGGATCGTTGATGTTACAAACTCCAGCCCTACCACCTATACCATCCTATACCCATGAAAAGTGGATAACCTGATAACCTTGCCTTTAAAACCTTTTTTGGGGGGCAGGGGATAGGATCAGACCCTGGTTTTTTCCGCCACGGCTCGTTGAACGCGCACGAGCTGTACATCCTGGAACGTGCTCGCCGTGCCTACGCGCGCTCCCGCCAGGAGCGCGAGTACTTGCGGAGCCTGGGGATTCGTCCTCCTCGGCGCAGGAGACGACGAGTTGAGAGGGATGAGGGATGAGTTGGACCGGGCAGAGAGGTCCTAGAATTGAGTGCAGCCGTTTTGTTTTAGATGCTTTAGGATGTAGGCTTTGTGAAGGGAGTGAAATTTTCGGTCAGGGTATTGTTGGATTCCAAGGAAGGAAGGTTTATCAGTCTTTGGAGAAAGATGCAACTGCAGAACCATGGACCAGTGTTTGATGTTGCTGCGGACCAGCTTTGATGACTTTTTCATTCCCTAAAAGTCTCTGAACCGAAGGAACAGCGGATCAAATGTCGGTCTAGCTCCATCGAGCAGAGCAGAGGTCATTGAATTCCAAAGCCAAAAACACAGTTTTGCCAGGTTGCCATGTTTTGCATGTTTTGCTGGTGCCTTTTCGCAGCATCCATTTGTGGTGGACATTTGGTGCTTTGCAGACCCTAGAAGTCCAAAGACTATATTTTGACCGGCTGGAGTAAAGGAAGTGTCCTTTCAGTTCCCTTAAAGATCATTCTTTTTATAGTCGACTTGACTCCCAGGGCAGAGTTTATGGCTCAAATGTTGGCAACCAAACAGCGCCCTATTGGCCCCCCCATGTTCATTCGTCCCCCCAAAGAGGAAACATGAGAGGTGATTTGGGAGGTGATGCCTTCGCCAGCGCAAAAGAGGAAGCGAAGCATGCAAAGTGCCTCCTGTTAGTCGTGCGTGCCACCTGTTTGGGCCTGCCCTGGAGTGAGATTGAGAGCCGCACCCCCTAAAAGCCATACCAGGGGTCGTGTTCGGCATGTTTACCTAATTACCTTGGGGTAGTGGAAAGGGGTCAGTGGGCATAGATGTTGTTTGTCCTGCAATTTCAGAATGACATGGAATGTTTGGGTGTGCTCTTTTGGTGTTCTGGTAGTGTTATACTTGCTATATATAGATTCTCATGAGCTGTGCCCCATGGTGGTGGTGGTTGACCTTGGCACCTGCGTGTGCCACTTCTGCGCGGTCGGGGAAGACGACGGAGAGGCAACGGAGGTGCTGTCCTGTCACACTGAGCCGGCGCGAGAGTTGGAGACCTGGGATGCAATTGAGAAGCTTGGGCTCAAGATGATCAAAATGCAGAAGAGGATAGGTGCCATGGGGAGTCGTGAAATATCACCACTCCCCAGGCCAGTTTCAGAAGGGAATACGTGCAGAAATGATCCAGGTGTACACCGATCGACAACGCTACACTTCATAGGTTTGCTTTGGACATCTTTTGAAAGCGCTATGGGTGTAGAATGGTGTGGATGTTTTGGAAGTCCACGGACCCCGCAGTTCATGCCGCCACAGGAAGACTTGGCATCGCATTTTCTACAACGAGCTCCGCCTAGCTCCCGAACAGAACCCTGTCCTTTTGACAGAGCCACCCTTGGCGCCAAAAGCATACCGCGAGAAGATGACGCAGATCATGTTTGAAACGTGGAAGCACATTCAGCCGAACCATATATATAGTGAAGTGAGAGTAGATGGCACAATCCCCCAAGAAGTTGTTTGAATTTGTTTATAAATGGACTCCTGTATACAAGACATTTAATGTTGGGTCTTAATTAGCAAAACCGCCCCCCCCTCCCCCTAGCAAACAACCGAGGGAGTATCAATAGAATCCCCACCACAAAAAACAATTACATATTAGCATTCGTAGCAGTAGGAGGAGGAGGAGTAGCAGTATATAGTAGCAGCAGTAGCAGTAGCAGTAGCAGTAGCAGTAGTGGCAGTAGTAGTACTAGTAGTGCTAGCAGTCGTAGTAGTAGAAGAGATAAGTAAGGATTTGAAAGGGCAGCAATAGCAGAACAATAGTAAAGTTATTTTTCCCTTAGGGCTCCAAGTTTGCTTATTAATCCCACCCCCTAAACAATTGATATTATTCACTTCCCATGGGCTGGTGCACTAACCGCTTGAAAAATTGTTTGGAGCAGCAATGAAATCCTTGAGTTTTAATAAGCGTTCATCACGAAAGCTAGCACCAGCTAGCTGGAGTTGTCCTTGCTTTAGCAAGTGAGGGGCTGGAATCCTCGGGATCGCCGCATCACGTGAAAACTTCATATGTAGGGGGGGGGCCCGTGGTGGGGAACTTTTAGACCAATGTGCCGCCAGGGCTCCTTAGCATACTTTTCATGCAAAACCATAAGACTCCCACAAACGACCAGCAAAGCAAATCGACCTAACAAAAAAGTAATTTGCACGAAACCATGACACACACAAAGCAAAACAATGCTTCATATTTTTTTTAACCATGCATCATCAAAAAGTACATACAGACGCAAACTTGTGATTTTTTTACCTTGAAATGTTAAAGTAAAAAACCACAAGTTTTGTAAAAGAACCTGGATAAAAAGGACAACATAGAACCAGACTCATCCTTACCAAAGCTCTCCCTGAAGGAAAAAAACATAGAAATCCTTTCTCCTAAATGGATACCGCTTCGTTTGATGTCTGTTTTTAAGCTGGTGACCTGGATTACCTGAACTTTGGATTACCTGAAACTTCACAATATGTTACAAACAGGCGATTTGTAAACTATTTTAGTAGCACCACAAACGTATTTAATGCGAATGCGGGGGCGAAAAACATTAGGTTTTACATTTCAGGAGAGGATAATACCTATTTGGATTTGAGTTCAGTAAGGTTGTTTGCAACTTTGCAAAATAACGATCGAACAAGACACCATTTCTTACGTCCATTAGGAGGCTTACATGCCTTTATTCAACGATACAGAGCAATAGTAGGAGGTCAAATGGATCGAAATATTGTTGAATACAATAGACACTGTGAGTTGTATGTTAGAGACATGGATGACATAGAGATGTCAGCTAACCCAAGATGGGACGCTGACTTTCATGACTATGCTACAGTAATGGTTTGGATGTATTATTGCAGGCTACTACTGCTGGTGTTACTCCAACCCCCGGTGTAGTAACTGTATCCCCTGACGGTGATAAAAATGAATGGGGTAGAATAGATAAAATATACAGTATACAAGACACTCATTGACAAGAATTTCCGGCGCTAATGGTAAAGCCCGATTCAGCCATAAGCCTGTTTGTGGGTTGATGCAATCAAATTATTATTTACCTTTGAGGTATGCGCCTTTGGAATTAGAATTCGCAATTGTTAATGATGAATTGGTACCTATTGTAGAACCACAAGGAGGCGCAGTAGGAAGCCCGAACACTCAAACTGACAAACAGGGGTATTACTTTCAAGCAGCTAACACTTCTACACAGTGGGAATTAAACAATGTTACTATCAGAGCTGAAGTAATGACTTTAGACAACACTGTTAATAACAACATAGTAAAACATTTGTTGGACGGTGAGTCACTAAAACTGGTCTTTCCTATGTATCACACACTAACACAAACCTTCAACACAGGAGGCGGTGAATTGGATATGAACATTGTTAAGTCATCATTCAAACTCACAGGAGCATTCAGTACTTTATACAGAACACCAGGAAATGGAACTATCAATGCTAACTATTTGCCAGACAACTATGTTCATAAGCGATGGAACTACTTTTACAATTCTCAAATTAACTCATTCATCTGGGACAATGGAGCAGTAGCAAATCCTCAAGACCAAGGCAAAGGTTTCCAAGACTATGGTAGAAACTTATAATGGCAAATCCAGTTAGGCAACAAAAAAGTATCCAGAGTTTGAGGCACAATCATTATCATGCAGAAACCTTCTACTATTTGCGAGGAGCCATACATTACATGAACCCGGACCAAGATGCATTGATTTTCAGTTACAGGCAATACAGAGAAAACACATTTATTATTGGTATGTCATTTGAAAAGATGGCTGACGTCAACTTTACTGGAGTTAACACAAAAATGGGTAGTTTAATGACTATGAAAATCCGCCCTACTGAAGGAACTCTAAACACTACACCCGGTGATAGCACTAACGCAATTTATGCTGAAGACATTCAAGAGGTTTTTACCCACCTTATTAGTGCAAGCGTGTTAGAAATTTGCGAACGCGGGTCTGTGGTATACGATTAAAGTAATAAGTCTACATTATTAATATATTTGTCTAAAACAAAATATATTAATAATGTTTAAGTATCATAAACACAACAACAAAACAGGCACTAAAGCACATCTTCACAAATTTTTAATAATTTTTAGTCCATTTGATATGAGAGATACAAGTTATTTGGAGCATTTACACAAGGAACTTAAGTTAAGAAATGCAAGAGAGGGCATGGTAGCATTAAGAAAGGACATGATACAAGCAAATGCTAGGTCAAAGTACCAAAATGAACTGGACAGGTTGAGAGGTGAAGTCCAAAGAGACAACCTACCGCACAACACAAAAGAACACAGCATTAAGCAACCTAAAGGCCTATTTTTTTTGCATAAATATATTAACATGTTTACCTAACATATTAATATATGGCAACTATGGCATTGGAAATGATAAATCCTTATTCAAAGTATGAATTGAAGAGGCGACCAACATATGATGAAATAGCAGGGTTGATAGGAGAAAATGAAACATTAACTGGAAGCCTTCCAGACAGAAGGGCTACATTTTTTAAAGCAAGTCCTGAAGGTAGCTTCTTTGATGGCATTTGAAGTATTGAAGGAACAAAAAAACAGAATACAAGAGAGACAGATGAGAGAACTATTATTGAGACACAATTTAGGAGGTGGAACAGTTCATGTTGAAAGGATGAGGCAACAGAGTAGAGACACAACCCCAATAGAAGCAGAGACGCCAAGAGATGACAACGTTAATAATGCATCCATTCAAGCACAACTACAAGAAAGAGCCAGAATGGCACAGGAGAGAAAACAACAAGGACAAGCACACCAAAGTTTATTAAGTAGGAGCGCCACACCTGTTATTGATATGATATTTGGTGGATTGAGTAGAACAAGTAGCAGAGTAGGAACGCCAATGGCTCAACCGGTGCCACAATTAGCAATTGATTTAACACAAGACAACCAACGAGCAGAAGATGAAGTAGAAATGATGACAGCAAGAGAAGAACGCGAAGCCCCTGAACCCAAACAAGCAGTATTAAGAACCATTAGCTATAGATTAAATGTAGGAACTATGAGCGCAGAAGCATTGAAATTTCAATTGTTTTTGAGAGGCTTTGATGTAGATGACCCAGAGAATGAACTACCAACAAGAGCAAAAGGCAAAGGAGGAGGCAAAACAACAAAGCAATATTATGTAGATGTTGATATGATGCAAACCGGTGTATGGCAAAGAAGAATTGAATCAGAACTATTGAAAAGCAAAATTAAAGAATACAGAAACAGACACAGCGCAAGGGGAAGTGAAATGGCATAATTAAGAATAGAATCTAATTATTATTAATCATGATTTTAGTACACAATAGACTGAAGAAATACATATAATAGATGATGATGAATGCTTACATTATTTTTAAATAAGCCAACAGAAAGAAGAGAACGAAGTAATGAGATAGAATCTGAAGATGAGGCAACACAATTCCCAGAGATAGAGAACAAACAAACGCAAACCGATAAGAAAATTACGTTTGACAAAGAGACTGAAACAGTAGATAAATTAAACCGGATAATAGGAAACTATATTGTGAAGATGAGTTCAAAGAACTTCAAAAGTTTAGAGCCATCAAGTAGTGATTTTGAGCCATCAAGAAGTGATAAGATGGTAGAAGCTTTTACAAAAATGATTGAAAACCCTAGCAGTAGTAGCAGTGACAGTGAAGGCTGATGTTTCAAAAGGCATAGAGGGAAATTAAAGATGGGTTTTTAGATTGGCAGAAGTAGCAGGAAATACAGCTATGATGGGTGGCAGTGCTTTATTGTCAGCGATTGATTATTTGACACAAGCAGGGGAAAATTACAATGATAATGAAGAGGAAGTTATAAGCGTGCATTCTTCACCTGCAGTGAGTGTCCATAGTTCTCCACCACATTCAGTAGTAAATGTTTCATCAAGCAGTTCATCACACAATCCACCCATGGTAGCACATCCAACAGATTTACCAATACCTACATCATCAAGCTCATCAAGTAGAAGAAGTAGTAGCGCTTCTGCTTCTGGTTCAGCATATCCAACAAATAAAAATAACAAATAAGTTAATATTTTTTAATAGTAAAATCATTTTGGAACCACCATCAGTATTTGCCTCGTTTCACTGTTGGTGACAGGTATCCTTTTTGGAACACCCCGTTCTTATCTCTTCTTTTGTTGTCTGAGGCGGTCTCTGTCCCTCAACTTTTGTGCATATTCAGGGTCTTCTCTTCTCCTTGTCTTTTCGTAAAGCGCCTGAAAGATTGCCATCTGCACTTTAATTTCATCCAGTGTTAGGTCCGGTCTTCAATGTTTAATTGAGTAGTCATTATATCTTAATGTATATAGTTAATATGTCTTTATATATATTCCATGTTAACGATACTAAATAATA